GATCCCCCGTACAGCCTTAACAGGCTGTCGGGGCAAGTGCTGTTAGCGAGCAGCATCTATGGTGGCCAGCACCACGCCCGAGCCGCCTTTGTCTCCCCAGTGGCGATGTTGACACATCGCACCAGGTACTCATTTGAGGCCGAGTCTACCTAGGGGGAGGCCAGCACTTGTTCAGATCATCCTCACTGGGCGTTGGCCGTGAACAGGAATCGAACTTCGGATAACCGAGTTCGTAGCGCAGCGCGTTGATCACTCCACCGCCGCTTATACAAACAACAAAGACAAAGATCCCCCGTGTAGCCTTCTACCAGACTGTAGTGGCAAGTGCTGTTAGCGAGCAGCAGCGCCTATGAACGGTACACAAACACACGTCTCTACACACAGGCGCGCGCTTGTGTGCACACTCACTCAAGACTCTTGCAAACACACTGCTACTATTATTAATTCAAAAACACATTCCTTCCTCAAACATCCGCCTTGAGACATCGACTGCCCTCCACGTTACAGGAGGGATAACGTGAGGTGAGTGCCAGTGAGTGCAAGGCCATGGGTTCAATCCCGGGCTGAGAGTCCAATCAGCCAATGATGATTCATCAGTCATTGTTCATCATCTGTCATCATCACTGACGCATCTACATCATCCATAATCATCATGCGCATGATACATCCTCTTTCAGAATCATCTGTAATTCAACAACGACAATATCCATATTGCTGTTAGCATAAGATTATAGGGTACAATAATCTAGGCTTGTACTGGTAGGAACCTCCTGGTTACACCAGCCCACAGGGGATTATTGTGTCCGTCCGTCGTGCATCCAAAAATGGGAGGGGTGGGGCTGGGTGGAGAGGGGAGGGTGGGGAGAGGTTGGGTGAGGAAGGGAGGGTGGGGCTGGGTGGGGAGGGTGGGGAGGGGCTGGGTGGGGAAGGTGGGGCTGGGTGGGGGTAGGAGAGGTGGGGCTGGGTGGGGAGGGGCTGGTCACCCCGTGGTGCCCTTATAAAATTCAACTCAACGTTTAACCTACTCACGCCGGCTTGTGCCCGCCCTCACAGTCGGGCATATTTGCGGAATACACCACGCCGCCGTTGACCCTGGCCATTGACCGAGCAACCCAACGCAGGAATGTGTTTATTGATAGGCGTATATCTTGTACAGTACTCTCGTGGTAGTGCCTTACGCCAATAATCCTGACTCCAAGCCATCGTCAGTAGCGTTGCTGAAAATACCGAACTCGAGTCGCCGGCCGGGTTTGTACCACTGCGCTATCAACACCAAAGCCAAAGATCCCCCGTGTCGCCACTAACGGACTGTCGGGGAAAGTGCTGTTAGGGAAAAGCACGGCACACGAGGGGGTGGGTGGCCAGCGCCACGGGAATCAAACTCGGGTCGCCAGATTCATAGCGCCGCGCGCGAACCACTACACTACCGCACCCCACTATATACATACACACCTATATATACACACACACCTAGTAGCGATAGTACCACCACTGCACCACCGCTCCCCACACCACCACCACCGCTCCCCACACCACCACCACCGCTCCCCACACCAACCACCGCTCCCCACACCCCACCCACCGCCTACCCCACACCACCACCACCCGCTCCCCACACCACCACCACCGCTCCCACACTACAACGCTCCCCCAGACCACACCACCGCTCCCCAACACCACCACCACCGGGCTCCCCAACCACACCACCGCTCCCACACCACCCACCACCGCTCCCCACACCACCACCACCGCTCCCCACACCACCACCACCGCTCCCCCACACCACCCACGCTCCCACATACACCACCGCTCCCACACTACACCACCGCTCCCCCACACCACCACCCGCTCCCCACACTAAAAACCACCACCGCTCCCCACACCTACCACCACCGCCTCCTCACAGAGACCACCACCACCGCTCCTCACACACCACCACCGCTCCCCACACACCACCACCGCTCCCCACACACCACCACGCTCCTCCACCACCGCTCCCACACCACCACCACCGCTCCCCACAGACCACCACCGCTCCACACACACCGCTCCCCAGACCACCACCACCGCTCCCCACACCACCACCACCGCTCCCCACACCACAACCACCGCTCCCCACACCACCACCGCTCCCCAGACCACCACCACCGCTCCCCAGACCACCACCACCGCTCCCCAGACCACCACCACCGCTCCCCACACCACCACCGCTCCCCAGACCACCACCACCGCTCCCCACACCACCACCACCGCTCCCCACACCACCACCACCGCTCCCCACACCACCACCGCTCCCCAGACCACCACCACCGCCGTCGTCATCATCACAGACACAGCGGGGGTCTTCGACCATGTGTTTCGCACGTGTGGTGAGATAATGAAAAAAAAATAAAAAAAATCAGCAAAGCAGCGCGGTGGGGTGGGAGGGGGTGGCACTCGGCACTTGACGAGTTCCCACGCGCCGCCGTGGGGCCTCTGTGGTCAGCGCCGGCTAAACCTCCTGACCCCGTGACCCCTACTGGGAGCATCTCAGCCGTCTGACCCCGTGCCCCCCACTGGGAACATCTACGGGGGGAGAAAGAGCTTCATAGCTCATCGGATTTCTTCCAGATTATGATCAAGAAAGAAAACGACCAAAGATCCCTCTCCCCCCCCCCCCTCTCACCCCGTATAGACTTCAAGGGAGTGGTGGGACAAGTGGTGTTAGCGAACATCACCACGCCCGGCCGCCTTTGTCTCCCTAGTGCTGACGCTTGTAAGGCTCGTCTTGAACACTCAACTCTCTAAACTGACCTTCAGCCCCCGCGTTGTGGCCGTGCCTGCAGGTTCTGTTAATCTCCCGGCTTGTCACACACGGATGAAATGCGCCGGCTTACAAATGTCAACTATTATTATGATGCACCACGCAAGGCACTCATTTTAGGCTGAGTTGACCTATCGGAAGCCCAGAACCGGTTCAGATATTCGCCACTCTTGCTATTGGTCGTGAGCGTGAATCGAACTGGGGTCAGCCGGGTTCGTATGGCAGTGCGCTCATCACGACACTGCCGCTTCCCACTGCAGACACACACAGGCCCCATGGCTACTGCACTTTACAGCCATCCGGTGTTATCGGTACGAACCGCCTGTTGCTCGCTACCATGCCCCGACGTTTCGCTCGACGTGCTGGGCGCTTCTTAACGCAGCAGCAACAACAATCGTACATAAATGCTCAAATACGACAAGGTTATGGTAAACTGATGTGGCGTTAATCGTCCAAGCGTGTTCCGTGTTCCTTCTGCAGTACCCACGTGTCCCATGCTTTTCACCTGACAAGCATTCGTCAGCAGACGAACCACCACCTCATGCGGCGACCGTCCAGGTGTTGTGTTGTGGCTGTGGACCAGATCCTGATGGGTATTTTTAATCGGCAGACAAGACTGGAAGGTCTCCAGATAATAAGACAGCCATGTCGGTCTCTGGTCAGGGCTTCAAACAATAGCTATGTAGGTCCCTGGTGAGATCTACAGACAATAGCTAGGCCAGGTAAGTCCCTGGTGAGGTCTACAGACAGTCGGGGCGGGCTGCTCTGCGACATCGGGGCGATTGTTGCGGTCAACTTCCCGAGTTCCAAACGCAACTTCTTCTCACCCGCAAGACACATCAGGACACCGAAAATAAAACAAAAACCCAGACCGACAGAGCCATTCCGCGACGGTGCTCGGAGCTTACCCGTGTCATCAATTTTGAGAACGGGGGCTGTGGCGAGCGTCCAGATCCGTGACCACGCCGTCCTCACCACGCCACTGTGCGTGACCAACTCAATCAAATAAAACCCTGTCCAGCGCCTGCCCACCACGCAGCTGTTTCTCGAGCATCTGTGCTCTCTCTCTCCCGTGCCAACACAACTCCCAAAAGCCGCTCCCTACCAACACGTCCAACACCTCCACCCCCCGTCCAGGTGGCCCTCGATCGATCTTCTTCTTCGTCTTAACCTGGCGGGTGCAAAATGCCCTTTCTGGGGGGTAGCGAGACACGGGACAGATTTTTTTTAGAAGGCAAATCATCGAAAGCACAAATTAAGTACAGGCAACGCAAGTACAACCACTACTTTGTTTCATCAAAGCGTGTTTATTAACATTGTAATTTTTTAAGGCTTGAGAACCAAAGGGTGGGGAGGGGGGTGGCAAGGCTGCAGTAAAAGTTAAGAACCACTGCCCGAGAGGCTTTGAGTGCCTTGTCTGATCCAGAGCCGTATTGTTTAAACACGCTCACGTTCCATCACCATTATCTATCCACTGCTGGACGAAGAACTGCTCGGCACCGTCTCCATCCCTGGCGGTTCTGCGATGGCTACAGCAGGTCGTTGTAGGCTGCTGCGGGGATACGCGGGGGCCAACAGAGGAGCCAGTGCAGAAACAAGTCCATTGCCGTCAATGCTGCCCGCCTTCACAAATATCCACGCTGACCTGCGCGGTGCAGTATGTACCAACAACCCGCGCGGCATCAACTGACCTATTTTATTTTGTATTTTACCAGGTAAGGCCCCACTGGGCTACGTAGCTGGCTATCACAAATGATCGCCCAACGAAGCGGGCTCGTGGCGTGGAAATGTACAGCAGGCGAGAAAAATACTCGACTCAATGCATGACGTCAAATCTAAATGTGGAGGAAAAACCAGGAGGACCCGGAGAAAAATTCACGCGACAACGGAGAAATGGAACGTGCAGACTCCAAATATACAGCAGCAGGCGTCAGGATCGGCATCGAACCCACGACCTCCTGCACACCAGGCAAGGTAGTTAACATCTCGCTACCGTGGCATTGAGAGGGCCCTTTCATCCAGTAGTGGACTGAAAGAACGTCTGTATATGCACCATGACGCCACTGTTGACGCCTCTCATCGAACGCGACGCTGCTCTGAGCTGCCCCCCCCCCCCGCTGCCACCTTCAATGTCTGCGCACTTAAGAGAGAGAGAGAAAAATAAGTGACAGAAGCATCTCAATCAACCGACTCGGCGTCAGTGAAATCACTCGGCTTTATTCGAGGCTCTGGCTGTTCAAAAAAAGAATAAAGCCTCGGCTCGTTCACATCTTCGAAACCAATAAACGCATCAACAAAAAACGAAATATAACAACAAAAAAGAAAAGCGAGCCAGAAAAAAAAAAACGAGGGCTCGCAATCGTTGCTACGACAGTCCCCGCGCGGTCTCCCGTCAAGGTCGGTGTCGGCGAGGAATGGATCGGTTCGACTCCCCGTTACCCGCCCAATCTACAGCTGCTGAACAGCAAGCGGACCGCACGGCGTTCGCCAGGGTGTATAAAGAACGGCTGCGGTGTATTCTTGGAAGCGTTCTTTTTTTTGTATCTTAAATGTACATTTAGCACCATGCCTTGAATAGTCGGAAGGTTTTTGTGACAATGAAAATTAGAAAGAAATTCAGCTCTCCCGATGCGTTTTTAGGGTGTACCGCGTGTTGTTCAGTACGATGTCTGACGTTTCGCCCCATTTGCCGGGAGCTTCACAGCAATTCGAATTTGCAAGGCAAAATTTTATCCTTAGATTGCGCGCTTCTGAATTCAGTACCCAAATGATTCAATTAATACGCTTTAAACTTACTTTTACCCACTCAGCCTGCAAAACAGCCATGGGCTGAATGGAACTGAATTAACACGGTCGGCTGCGTCCCGTGCGAAAGAAGTTCAACATACATGAGAATGAAACTGATTTCACTTTCTAAACTATTGATTTCTATTACATTTTTTGTATTTTACCAGGTGAGGCCCACTGAGCTATATAGATATCTTTCAGAAGCGACCCAGCCACAAAAGATAGCTCAACAGAGTGGCTTATCACGTGGACATTGAGAGCAGCCAAATACTGTAAAACACGTGATGTCGATGTGAAATGTGTAGGGAAAACCCTGAAGACCCGGAGAAAAATCTACACGAACACTCCAAATAAACAGCAGGCCTCAGGGTCAGGACCGAACCCAAGACCTCCTGCATACCAGGCGAGGTAGTTAACACCTCGCTAAGGTAAGCTGCCAGGCAGGCGCAGTGGAAAGTCGGGACATCGACCGGAAAACGCAACGGGAGAGATGGTCAGTAGCTCGCTCACAAAAAATTCACGAGGTGGCGTTTTCGTTTTTGTCCACTCGAGGTCCGGGGGAACGGGAGGCCGCGAGGGGTTGTCGTGTCATGTTCACGTTCACCTGCCGGGTTATTTACGCACGGGGTGTCATCGTCGTCATCTGCACGAATATCACAACATCGACTCAATAGTAAAAAAAAAAATCACACCCCCACACGTATACACAATGACGGGAGTGATGCAAATTAACACAGAAGACGAAAAAAAAACCCCTCCACACACTTTGCTCATCCCCCCCTCGTTCAGGGTAACTGCCGAGTCAACATCCAGATTAACCCTCTCGTGCACCGCTACGACTTGCCGACGTTCTCGTCTCAGCGATGCCACAGAAAACCGACGGCGATTGAACGCAACGTCACGGAAAACCGGTACGATGACGCCGCTGTCGTCACCTCGGGCTTTCTGAAAGAACAATGCAAAATAAAAATCTAAACGGTCCCCGCCCCAATATTTCCCCACGCCAGTCAGCGTGGTGAGAACTGCTTGTTGTTGTTGTTCTTTAGTTTTGTTGTCCTTCTCCCCCGCACCTTCGATTAGCGCGGTTGGCTACGTCCGACACAAAAGAAGCTCATTATACATACAAGCAGGATTTTAACTTGCAACACTAATTGCGAGTCCTTTATCAATCCACCAATCAACCTCGCAGCGGATTTCGGATAACCGTCGAACAAAGACGGTCACCGCATCGCTTGGCACTTTCAGGTGCGCTTCTGCGGCCGTCTGGAACGCTCTTCCTTCCGATATTATGAAGTCACTGTGAGCCAGGCACTTTTAAATAATCTTCTAGATTGAAAACTAATTTCTTGAAAACTTTTTAGTTTGTTGTCCTTCCCCCGCACCTTCGATTAGCCATGGCTGGCTACGTACTGCTGCACACGCCTCAAATATTTTTGGTGCAAGTCCCCTCTGAAGGACATCATCTTACTCCGTGTTTGCCGCCTAGTGGTGGCCAAGGCGGCTACCACGGCAGAAGCTCTGGGTGAAGCGGCGCTTGCTGGTATTCGAAGGTGGCCGATGGATGAAGTCCACTGCAGAGACCATGACCAGATTTGTTTGTGAATGATTAAACACTTTCAACAGATCTGACGGAAGGGGTTGTGGGGGGGGCAATCCTGACTAAAATTCACAATACACCCAATATAAACTAGCTTGGGTTTTCACATCTTTGTTATTTCCCAAATCCATTGTATACCGAATCACACTTTCATATACATGTCGTGAGATGTGTCTGCAGAAGCAGACACACATCACAGAGCTACCTCCGAGACCCCTTCGATATTCGAGTGACCTCTCGTCCACACCGTACAAGGCAGCGGTTTCATGTTATCATCTTAACGATCCATGCACGAGAGGGTGAACAATCTGGACGCAAGCACTGACACGGGGCAGACAAAGCACAATTAACGGCAGCGTGAAATCGGCACGTAACGCCGTAACGATCGATCCAAACCCGAGCGAATCTTTTCGTGGAAACGAGGACAAGCGATGTGCTTTTAAGAGATTGGGAATATCAACGCTGCTTTGACTGGCTCAAACATAAAAAATTTATTCACCTCACTCAACAATCCAGCAGCTGACCAAGTTATAAAGGCATCACGTCTGATCAGGCTGAAGCTGGGTGGCAAAAAAACGAAACCGAACGGATCGGAGTTCAGCAGGTCCCAACGGAAATTTCTGCCTTGGTTATCTTCTTACAATGGTTTAATTATCTTATTAAAGGAACGCAACGGAGGGGGGGGGGGGGTGGTAATTAATAGTTCAAATCCGTGCCAACTTTTTGGCGGATTTGAACATATTATCGACTTTAAAAAAATATAAATTAAATTGAGGGTAAACAAAACGAAGCATCAAACAAATCATCGTAAGTAAACCGCATCACCCGCTCACGTCACAGTACAAACACTCGAAAGCTGTCAGCAAAAACTCGGTTTCACCTAAGATGACCGAACAAACGACAGCCGACGGACCCAGGAGACAAAAAAAACATTCGGCAATCGCACCACAAAGCACACATCTATGGCTGTTCACGGTGCTGGAAGAAGCTATAGATTATGCTTTTATCCCATGACACACAACTTTAAATAAACCCCAGGTATTTGAAAATGTATGGCCGAATTTCAGGTGTGTACCATACGTGCTTTGCCAGAAATTACCGCCATCCTCGCCCCCAATTTGTTGGCGCCTCTGGCTAGGAGTTCAAATCTAGGTCAGGGATCACCCGAGCCCATCATGCCTCCCTGGGGTCTGTAAAATTAGTACCACTTAATGTCAAACGTATGTCTTACAGAAAGGCCGATGCTCGCCACAGGAATGTGGAATTACCATCACTGCCTCAGGGCCACCAATAGACTGCCACCCAAAACGTATTTGAATTTGGGGACGCAGTGACTTTTGACGCTTCCCATGTCGTCGTCGTCGTGGCAAGGTTAACTATGAAATTCCTTCATTTTAATCTTTGCAATACCAACATTACACCTGTGGCAGCCACTGGCTCCAAAACGTTAGGCATTTTATACAAAACCCGCGCATAGCCTGGTAAAGCGAAAAAAAACGAACAAAAAAATAAACGTGGCAGTTACGGCTCTCGATGACAATCGAACCCCGGAGACAGCATTGCATTGTACCACACCGAGCGGAGGGACGCATTGCACGGCTCACACGTGCGCGAGTCGAACCCAGCCACAAATGCTACGGGGCCTCAGAACGTTTGCCTACGGCAGAGGTCGCAACCGGGTACCCGATACCCGTACCCTACCCGATACCCGGCTACCCGTACCCGGCCGGTGTGGCGGGTATGGGTAGGCCGTAAGTCACTGGTGAGTAGCCGTTTGTCACTCATTTCGGGTAGGGTACGGATATGGGTAGGGAACGGGTATCCGTACCCGGCCGGGTACGGGTACCCATTTGCGACCCTGGTGCGGCCGGGTACGGGTAAGGAATCAAAACCCGTTTGCGACCTCTGGCCTAGGGGCACAGGTAGGGAGGCCGGCAGGGGGGGGGGTATACTTTCCGATTCTCAAACAAGCCCTTTCTTAGCTTTCATCTTTCACGAAGGGTACAACACTCGCGCGTGTCGGTGTTTTACACAAGTACGGCAGTTCTCAACGCTTTATTGCATTATTTTTCACTTTAACCCCCTCCTGTCCGGTTCAGAGTTCGTGCCCGCTGGAATTTCAGTTTTAGCGGGCTCTGCAATGCTTTGTCCGCCATAGGTGGGGGGGGGGGGCACCCGTGTCTCATTTGTCCCGCTCGGTCACACGCAGACACGGGAGGAGGGGGGGGGGTCGATTACAATTGCACGTCTAAAAAAAAGATCAACGCCGCATTGAAATGACATTTACAGGGTTACATTGCGATCGCGTTGCTCTTTCACGTGTTGCGCAATTGCATTCGAGCCACCAGGTCTCTTAGTGCAAGAACCAGCCATTGGCCCGAGCGCCCGCAAATGCTTTCCACCGCGGAAAGGGCGGGAGGCAACGGCGGCTTGGCAACTCCGACGCTCGCGGTCCCAACCCGGCACCTCGTCTCTCGCTCTCAGTTTTGAGCAACGGCGTTTAGCCCAGATGCCGCGGTCTTGTTTTGAGTCAGGGCAGAGGTAAAGAATGAAACGGAGCGGCGGAGGGGGGTGTCAGCGAGGAGAGAGAGGGCGGCAAGCCTAGATGTTGCTGTACAGAGTCTCAAAAGATAACAAGGCGGGACGGAAAATTAAGCGGGAGACTGGGCAACGCATTGCAATCCTCAGATTTTAGAGCCCGCTATCTGCAGCGCCCTCCATTCACTTACAAAGTGAAATCGTGAAGGTACGCGATTTGCTGAGAGCGTGTTCGCGGCAGAGCCAGAGAGCAGCTCTATCGCTTGCAGAAAGCGGCGTCCTCACATCACCGCTAGGTATGGGTCAAGTTGCAATTCCTAATAAAAATGCAATAGCAGTGAAGAGGCCTCTACAGCATTGATGCAATGTTTGTGCTGCACAAACGCTTCAACTGTGAAGTTAGGAAGAGCGACATTGTAGTATAAACAAGCCTTGGATAAAGCGGAGAGTTTGAGGACCCATACAGTACTTCACACGTTAGCGTATTCACAAATTATTTTAACCTGTCGAGTTACTTGCTACACAACACAAACAAGCGCTTTGCACGCATCCAGATGTTGGTAGCTCGTGCCCGCCTCCAAGCAGGTCGAGTTAACTCAGCGCAGGTGGTACACGCACGCAGCCCTGGTCAATCCACTGCTGGATGAGGGGCTTTCCACCTCCACCTTGAAGCACTTCGCTGCGCTGGTCGGTGGGGGAGGTCGGTGAAGGCGGAGGGGGGTACAGAGACGTGGAGAGCACAGAAAGTAAAGCAGCAATGGTTGTTGCTTGCACTGCCTTCTCCGCCGTTGTAGAGCGCATGTGGGCCCATAGCTCCATAAAAAAAGCCACAGGAACTAAAGGACAAAATAACATTTAATACAAAACCACATTCGTATCTAAAATCAACTACATGTTATTTTCACACACAAACTCCCTTTCAATGACATTTCTGACAGCGCGTGGAAGTACTATGCTGTACAGCGTACACCGATATAACCACACTAGGCGTGGTTTTGATTAGATGTGCGAATAAGGGGTGGGCGGATCACGAGCATGCGTGCGCGAGACGTCCACATACCGGGCCGATGAGGTGCTGCCTGTACAGCAAGTAGGTCTGATGGGCCGGCCGGCAAAATTCGAAGTGTTTCGTTTGCCTATGGCATTACTGGATTGTTATCTGGGCGCAATCACTCTTACACGCCAAATTAAAACTCTGATGAAAATCCAAGGGGAGAAACGTCTAATTATTTTCCAGAATCATATTGGCGTGTGCGTGCGCGCACGTGAGTTTAGTTTGTTGTCCTTCCCCCGCACCTCCGATTAGCACAGTTGGCCACGTGCGGTGCAAAGGAAGTTCAACATCCGTACAAGAGATGTTAAGTTATGTATAAATCCACAAACAGGCGTGAAATGTTGTGTTGGAGAGATGTTGTCGATGAAGGATTCGGAGTTCTGGTGGGTGAATTTTGGACGACGCGGTGCTGGCCAATGGTGCAGCCAGGCGCTGCCTCCCACCCTGTACGTGAAATTATCCACCTTTTAAAACACTAACCCAATGCTAATTAAAATAGCAATTAGGTTGATCTGCTAACCGTACATTTCGTAACTTGATTTAGGTTTCCGCCTGTGAAAGCGAGGCAGAACGGGTACGTTTTAATTTTTTTTTTTTACCTTCGGACGGTCAGGCGGTCAATTATCTGACGGGGAATCGAATTCCACAACAGGGTGGGGGAGCCCCTGCAAGCAATGAGATGGACCCCAGATGTTCGCCGTCGCACCCTGGGGATGTTTGGCAATCCCTCATCGGCGGATTCAAACGGTCGCGTGTTGGGCAGTCGGGAGAAATAATTATCTCTCTCCGGGCACGGAGCTTCCCCTCCCACGTTAAAACAAAACTTAACATGTAGGCGTGTAACGAATAGTGGATAAAAATCAATTATCATGCTCGGACGCACGCCCCTGAACCGATTATGTACAGTCTATACAATTTGCCCACGTGGATATCAGCTAGCAGAGGACCAGCAAAAGCCAGGACAAGGCTGGCAATAATAACCGAAACGGTATAAGACAGCGAGAAAACAATCCTTGAACCAGAATCGTGACCGCCCCACCCCCCGCCACATTATATATCGCCACGACCAAGATCGCCAACATGCTGAGTATGCTCCGAATCGTTACGTGCCCATGAATAAGGGAATTGGTCAAACATGACTATTAAGGACTTCTCTCCTGATACCTCTCTTTTCCACTGGCCCCCAGGATGACGGGTACATTTCCACTGGCTATTTGCCAAACAGAGCCATGAAACCAAAGCATGAAACTCAATTAAATCTGTCTCGGTGGGTTGAGGACACAGAGGAGACCATTTTCATTGTACGTTGCAAAAGTGGGCGCACCTGCGGGAGGGGACACGGGCGACTGTCAGCAGCGCGGCTCTGGTCCTGGCAGTTGAAAAAAAACCACGAGCACGGCCCTGGCACAGTTCGGTCGTGCGGTGGAAAAAAAAAGAGGGATAGAAGAGACCCAGGCGGGGCTGTCCTGTTACCGAGGCCTTATCACGGACCCTCTGCAGCTGTGCGGTGGTCAAATGCGGCAAGAGGAGTTGGGGAAATTAAAGGAGCAAAGACTGGTTGCGGTGCTACGTGCGGTGGTGACGAGCGCGTGTGTGTGCGTGTGTACGTGCGAGCGCAGTAGTGGCTGTGCTGTCGGGCAGTGGGCAGGGCTGCTCAGTTATCTTTTGTGATCGTATCTCTCCCTCCTCCTCCTCATTGCCAGCGAAATCAGTCCAGGTCCTTGCGGCCGCTGGCGCTGCGGTGGGACATGGAGCGGCTGTAATGACAAAGCGGTGGAGGGTGAGGGGTAGCGATAGACAGCGTGCTTTACGATTACTTCCAAACATCGCATGCTTCATGAAGACCATTTTATTATTGTTAAGCTCGTCTACCCAGGAAGTCTACACAGAAACACCTTACTGAGTCTCAAGACTTTAAGGAGGGTCCCTGCCAGGTTTTAGCAGTAGGGGTCGATGTTGCTGTGTGTGATCCCAATTGAGTGCTTTAAGGTAATATTTAGCATTGGCATGTTTGGCCAATACCAGATGCATTGTGTGTTTTTTTTTTTACTACGGGAGGAAATCCATGCACACAACAGCGGGAGAATATACCAACTCCACACAGAAAGGGGCCCGGGTCGGGAATCGAACCCAGGCACCTTCTTGCTGAGGTACAAGGGTTATCAATGCCACCCTGCCACCCATGAAGCCGGCTGCGCAAACAAAATCCATGTGCCGCAGCACCGAGCTGGCAATTTGGACCCCCTGGGATTCAATCTGAGTTCAAACGTTGGTCATTCATGCCAAAAATAAGACAAAAAGAACCGATTTCTTGAATAAAATATTGTATACCAGGCGAGATGTTAAGTACCTCGCCTGGTATACAGGAGGTCGTGGGTTCAATCCTGACCCTGACGCCTGTTGTATTATTTGGAGTTTGCATGTTCTCTCCTTTGTCGCGTGGATTTTTCTAAGGGTGCTCCGGTTTTTTCCCTCCACATTTAGAAACACGTGTTAAAGAGTATTTGACTGCTATACATTTCCACAAAAGCCACTTCGTTGAGCTATCATTTGTGATAACCAGGTCGCTTCTGAAAGAGATCTGTATGCTTAGTTGCCCCTTGCCTGGTAAAATAAAAGATTTAGTTTTTAGTTTAGTTTATATTGGTTAGTGATCAGGAAAATAATCCCGTGCCCAGCACGCGACATCCAGTAAACCTCTCGCTGTGCCGATGTCGACCAAGTCACGTACCACATACTGTCCTGGCCTACCAGCGAACTAGAATACAGCGAGTGAAAAACGAAGCCAAATCAATCCATGGTCTGACCACAATTATTAGGTATCCCTCTCGCCGTGCCTATTTGTGGTGTCCTTGTACAGCAGCTTCAATTAGCACAGTTGGCTGCGTATGGTGCAAAAGAAGTTCAACAGTACGTACAGTCACGTGCATCCCCCAACTTCCCAGTCGACCGCGTAAACTCGCTGCCCCCCTTCTGGCCATCAGTGACAAAAAGCTTCACAGCTCATGGGATCCCCTCCGAGATATGAAAAAAAAATCTCGATTATAACCAGCGACCCGGAATCCATTGTGGCGGGAGACTAAGCCAGCCCGACCTCTCTCACCACACCCCCCGGGCGGCCGACCTGGAGCGTGGGGCGGGAGAGGGGGAGCGCGAACGTCGCCGCAGGGACCCCGAGCGTGAGCGGCGAGGGGAGGCAGAGCGCGAGCGGCGCCGGGGGGAGTACGAGCGCGAGCGCCTCCGCTCCGAGCCAGACCTGCGCCACCGCCGGCACCAGACGTGGTGGGGGGAAGGGTTCGTTATGACGAGGTGTGACGGGAGCGGGGTGAGGTCCGAGAGGTGGGTGAGGTTTAAGAGGAGTGGTACGAGCCGTGAGAAATAAGAGGGATGAGGTGTAAGGGAAGGGGGTATGAGCGGTGAGGGTTAGGGAGATCTGAATCGGTTCTGGGCCTCAAATGAGTATCTGGCGCGGTGTGTAGTAAACATCACCACTAGGGAAACAAAGGTGGCCAGGCGCGGTGCTGACCACCCATCCCCTCGTGTGTCGTTCTGGCCTTCATAGGTGCTCGCTAACAGCACCTGCCCCCAGCAGTCTGATAAGTCTATATGGAGGATCTTTGTCTTTATTTGGTTTAAGAGTAGGGCTTAAGAGTGGTGAGGGTTAGGGGGTGAGGTGTAAGAGAAGGGGTGAGAGTGGTGAGGGTTAGGGGATGAGGTGTAAGGGAAGCGGTAAGACTGGTGAAGGTTCAGGGATAAGGTGTAAAAGAAGGGGTAAGAGTGGTGAGGGTTCGGGGTGTGAAGGTCTGAGAGGAGTGGTGTGAGATGAGGTGTGAAAGGTGGCGTCGTTCTCACCTGCTTCGCCTCCGCTCGTACGAGCGCGAGCGAGACCTGTGGACAGCAGGAAAGTAACATCCAGTTTACAGCTCGTCGCTGACACACAACCTCACCCGAAAGCAGTGTTCTTTACTCTTTGGTTCTTTCGGTAAAGTCACATAGGTGAAAATAAAATAAGAATAAAAATAAAGAATAAAATAGAACTAAATTAAATCACGACGTTTCGGAAGCAACACAAGCTTCCGTCATCAGGTGGGACAACCACAGCAAAAAACAAAATCACTGTAGTGGGCACAATAGTAAAAAAAAACAGCAAAAAATATAATTACTGTAGTGCCCACTACAGTAATTTAGTTTTTTGCTGTGGTTGTCTCACCTGATGACGGAAGCTTGTGTTGCTTCTGAAACGTCGTGATTTAATTTAGTTATTTCTATTTTATTCTTTATTTTAATTTTTTTTTTCCACTAATTTTCTAAGGCGGGTGGGCACTTTTTCCGCTAAGAGATCATCAGTGTGAGGGCCGCCACACATTTGAAACCATTGGGGGGGTTTCACAGCAGCACGACGATGATGATGGCGGGTGTTTTCACATTTGTCTATTGTCGGGGGCCGCACAAAAGGCCACCAGGGGACGCCAGTGGCCCGCGGGCCTTGCAATGAAGAACACTGCGCTACAGAAAATACTAAACTAGGAAATGGTTCTACCAAGCAACCCGGCAGCATTTAACAGGCCACACCCGGCTGACGAGACTCAAGAGATGTGGAAACTGGTCCCCAGGTTGCCCGCTTAATGCGGAGTGAAAAAAAACGGATCCAGAAGGCACATCACCCGACTGACATAGGTGTAATAACACTTTTAGTGATACACAAGTTTAAAATTACATTCCACATGTGCTACCAGTGTCACATAATGGTTACGAGCAATGCAAAATACACAATGTTAACAACACTACCCTAGAACTATTCACCTCCCGACCCACCGATTTGATGTCTTGTAGGTATCGTCTCCTACGGTCTGTCTCGTTTGTTCCAATAGCCTAAAGGTACATTTGAAAATAATTTAAATACATCCTAATCAATTCTTACACGCACTATTTTATGCACGTATCTTCGGAGTAAGGATCTATTTCATTCGATGGATCACGACAGGAGTTGTATTAGGGCCCACTGAGCCAACTTGCCACCACTACAGACTTAATGCTGGATAAAGTCCACACCCATAATGAACATAAATGTATCCCAAATGTTGATGTTCATTGTTAAAACAAAACCGATCCCGACTCTAATGTCAAAATATCAAGAGCAATGGTGAAAGTTTCGATTTAAAGCTTTTGTGACTGCAGGGATTCATCTTCTTTGTTCTTTCGGTAAAGTCACGTAGAAGGGAAATAATAAAATAATACAAATAAAACATCAAATAAAATTCTCACGACGTTTCGGCCACAACACAAGCAGCCGTCCTCAGGTGAAGAACAGGGCTCTTGCGAAGTGGCCGAAACGTCGTGAGAATTTTATTTTATTATGTTTAATTGCTATTATTTTATTATTTCCCTTCTCTGTGACTTTACCGAAAGAACCAAGAAAATAGTCAAAGTGCTCGGATACTTTTAAAACCCGCATAATATTAGCATGGGGAGCTTTTTCGGTCAAGATTTCCCCTAAGTCAAAGTTCATGGACCGTACACCGCTTGTCACCAATAACATAGGTCCCTGATTCCATGCGGTGATAATGAACTCGCAAAACGCCTTACGATGAAAAACTGCTTGAGTGAGTGCTGCGATTTATGGACTGAGTCACAGATGAATAAATTACATTTCCCATAACATACACCGCAACTACACGCGGCATACGTTCACTAGCGAGCGGCAACGTGGCGTGCAGTCTACGAACTAAACCCCGCAGGGGTGGGGGAACCAACAACTCACCTCACACCTGAGGCCCTACCACTTCAAAACGGCTCACAAACGGTAATTCTCAGTTACTTAAACTCGCTCACGGTCCCGGCGCCCTCCCTAATGGCTCCTGTCCCTCTCCCGACCCCCTTTGTCTTCCAAATGTAATGACGCTCAATTGATTTTCAGCCCCCCCAGCATTCTGTTGCACCACTCCAGCTATGACCAGACCTATCCCAACCCCTCCTCATCAATCCCTCTTGTTTTAACTGTAGAAAAACTACACCGCCACTTACAATAACCCAATTCGAATTTTCAAATCGTGCTATGTGCAATTTTATAATTGCTGTAAAGTGCCTCGCTAAAAGCGCTGGATAAATCTCGATAAGATACAAATTTAAGCCGCACTAATTTCGCACGTGTGTGTTCAAGAGTACAAAGTCAATTATTTCACTGCAAGGGTCTCTCAGCCAGTGGGGACCCCTTGCAGAGGGCACCTCTCCCACCCAGGTCACGTGTGGGCGCAGGGAGCTTTCGTACCTGCGCGGGGACCGGCTGCGAGAGCGGGAGTAGCGCCGTCCTCGGGAGTGGGAGCGCGAGCGAGTTCGCGAGCGGGAGCGGGAACGGGAGCGCGAGCGCGAGCGGGAGCGCGAGTGGCTCCTGCGCGCCGTCGCACACGCGGGGGGAGGACTCCGGTTAGAGCGTGAGCCACGATAACTCTCAACATCAACACACGAGCAGCAGCAGCAACGACAGTGGCGGCAGCGGCGGCGGCAGCAGCAGCAGCCCTCGCTTTGCCCGGCCGCCAGGGCCTCTCGCGTCAGCAAATCGCCAACGGTCATCTGCCTCGCTGAGAAATCCATTCACCGCCGCCCCCCCCCACCTCTCTCATAATGGGTAAAGAGGAACTACCCAGCCAGGTGGCGCTCTGGTAGAGCTGCTTGACTCTCTTGTCGAGGTCAGGTCGCGAGATCATTATTGGTTTGACTGTCGTGCATTAAACGTTCCCCCCAGTGGCAGGGCAGGTGGGAAAGTACTGCACCCCTACTGTGTGGACAAGAGCTCACTTGAAGGCACCTCAGAGGTAGCTCTGTAACATCCGCTTCTGTGTGCCATTCTCTCACATGGGGGATTGCGCTGCTCTGTGAGCGGTTATCACCCGATCACGCTTCTGGGGTTGATACGACCCACTTTCTGATAGCAGTCTGGCTCTGGCACGACCATTAGGAGCCTCCTAAGCTTTACCCTGCCACTACTGAAACAATAATCGAACAGGGCGACGGCAAGAGGGTTCCCGCAACGCGTTATCCACTCCAATCTCTCCAAATGTTTACAATCTCAATGTTCAATAGTGGAGAATAACAGCCAATTTGAAAGCTAATTAAAATAACTCTTCAACGTATGTGTGTGTGTGTATATATACAGGTAAAGCTCAAAATCAGAAATGACAAGCCTCATCAGACGGAGGAATAGGCAGGACAATAACTTTAAACAGAAAAAAGTCGCTCCGATTGCACGTCTAGTTATCACGTACCCAGAAATGCACAACACTTTAAGAATGTAAAAAATTGTCTGGCGGTCTTGCAAGGGATGCTGCAGCAGCTGCCTCCAAAAGCATGGCAATTACAGCATTGGTTAAATTTAGCCTGCAGGGCTGTGCAGGAGAAATTGTGTGTGTGTGTGTGCATGCAAGCGACAGAGGCAGCTATGTGAAGAATTAGTATTACTCGGTACTTATGCATTTAACAAAAATTGCAGATGTGTCTGTTTGTGTGTGATTTTAAATAACGCAGCATATAGAGCTGCGATGCCAGAGGTGTAACTGTGAATTGCGTGCATGCGCAAGTCTATGTGCAGCACAACCATTTTTGGTATGTATACTTTTTCTTTTAAACAGAAGAAATATTACAGCAAAAAAGATAAGTTATTTGTAAATGTTATTAAGTAGAGCAACCTTTTTCGAACAGCACACCAGGCGACGGTCACTGCAGCGAGTCTAGAAGGTCTAGTGGGTCGGGGCTTAATGGACGGTCCAACGTTTCTAGGCGTCTTCAATCGAGCGATGGGACGGCCTTCGATTTCTCGATTTTGTGCCGGGCGCGGGGTTCTCTAGGAGGCCCAGTCGCCGAGTCTCACCCCCCTCAACCGCCACGCGCTCACACCGAGCGCCAACTCGCTCTCGGACCACAGGCTTGACCGCCCGCCGCAGCTTTAGATTAGACTTTACTCGGGAAGGATCACCCGTCACGTCTTGTCAATCGGGCAGGTCACATCAGCGGCCTCATCATCCCCACCACCACCACCATCATCATCCTCATCATCTCTTTGGGCTCGTGCAATCGATCGCTTTGTCTCGCTCGCTCGCTGCTTGGTCTGACAGGCCCGATTCGCCTAGACGTCGTTTAATCGTGACGATCACACGCGACGCACTCAACCTGGAAGTTTGGACCAGCAGCATAATTAACATTGACAGCACGGTTCAAAACATGGCACTCAAAAGAAATGCAGTTAGCGTCATGATAAACACTCATTTGTTTGTCACTAGAGTTAAACCCTAGCAAGGATACTGTTTAAGTGGTGTCACTACAATTTTTAAACATTAATTTTCTACAAAAGTTTACATTAATGGATATTCACATTAGCATCAAATGTGGGGTTAAAAGGAAACATTTTAAATATATATATAATTTACCAACTAACTAAAACGTCATACTCAATAATATATGAATGAAATTCCACTCTCATGATGAAAATGAGGAACCGATTGGAGCCCATAAGCCAAAAGGTACCTGGTGTAGACATTTAAAACGCATTACTGGTTCATCAGCAAATCACATTTAATTCAAAGGTTGAAGATGCAAACTGAAAAATTAAGTTGGTCTCATTCAGTACATTAGGGTGGAGTTTCAGTTCCAAATTACATACAATTTGGAAAAAACAGTGACTCTCAAACTCCAGTTGACAGACCATAATACTCCAGTCCAGATTTCCAAGGCTATCTTTATTCGCCGTGTGAACGGATCAATTGACTGGCAGACTTATTTGTGGTCCACAGATTAGGAGTTGAAACCCACTGACATACAAAATCAATACATATGAAAAGACAGAAATGTAACACATGTTTAAGCAGCACCAAGAAGAAACATAACCACTCAATCTTTAGAATTTTTTGAAATCTGCAGAAACACAAGCTTCATTTACTAAATGGACAAATGTAACCGACATAACTGTTATGCATGAAATGATTTGCTACTCATGCACTGTGGCGATGGAGTACATCGTTACAATCTGCGTGTAACAATTTTAGTTGGTTGTAACGTGTAACTCATGCATTGTCTTGTTCTTTCCAGCTGGTTTGTCGCAAATATAAATAAAATTTGCACAAATTGGAATTAATCAATTATTAGGCAGACAATTCCACCTGTGAAGTGAACGTAAGAATCAATCTTAATCAACAAATCGTTAAGACGCACAATAATTGCAGCGCCAGAGGCTCCGAAGCGTCGCCGCCTTTACAGCGTCATTTTAAAATCATAAACAAAAGTGGCAACTTGTGTGTCTGCAGATCTTACTCATCAATTACCAATTCATACCCACCCACAAAACTAATCAATATCCTTGCAAACTGCAGGAGCACAACATGACTGTGATGTCACAAACCTGGTGAACACTTGGGGCTGTTCAATTTAGTTTTCATGGCGTAGATGGACAATGGCCGAACAAAAACGATTGCGACCTTCACTAACTCACACTGATCAGCGTGTTAAGAAGTATGGTCAGACACACACAACATGACCGATAAGAGTATGGCGAGGCGTCCATCCAGCAGTGGATTATAGAGAGGGCTGTTAGTTTTATAAACTGTACGCAACGGGCTATCACATTGAAGCACGCGCTGTGATTCCTTCATTGCTAGAATTGAACTGGAATCGATTACACAATCTAGTAAAGGAGTATCGAAAGAATCAATAATCAGTTAATAGCCTGAGTGGGCAATCGATTATATGACTGTTACAAATGCACCATTCATTGAGGATAAGCCTGACCGAGTCTCAAGACGCTTTCGGGAGGGTGCTGGCTCATGATATTTTGCCTCTTATCGAGGAATTTTGAGTGCGAATGGAGACCGGATTGCTCACAGAAAAAACCCTCACATACGAGGGAAACAGATAGGTCGCCAAACCTACTTGCTATACTGACCCTGCCCTCATCCCCCCCACAACGCCCGTGGCTCTGTCTGACACACAACATCTCAGCATGATAGATTTTAAAAAAACTTGTGCCGCTCTCGATGGCTGGATGCTAAGAACCTCCATTAGTTCACCAAGTTCACATCACTGCGATGCTGCGCGTGCAACCAACTTTGCCCAAAAGGCACCTGCAGACTTAAAGAGTACGCCAATGGGCAGAGGAGGAAGAGGCAGAGAAACAATCTCGTGCAAGTGTTTGACTGAAATGTGTTCTAAATCAGTGATGATTCAAGATGTCTGTCCAGCGGATCCCGCTTGAGATTTTTTTTCTTTCCGTGTGTTGGTGTATGGGAGGAACTAGAATATCCAGAGAACAGCTTTTCAGAATTACACTTGCTGTACTCACTCCTGTTCATCCCCTGTTTGCTCGAGCAGGTGGGTTATCTCACTCAACATCAATGCTCTCATCCCTGCATAATCCAACCAGATCTCTAACATTAATTGGAGTGTTGGCCGACACACTGGCCCAATAATGGTTTTTACAGAAGAATGAATTTAGATTCGAGACTAAGTTGTACTTCAAAATCATTGACAGTAGCTGCCACCAGAGGCGACAAATTGAAAAAGAGCTTCTTGGCTCAATGGGCCTTACCCAATAGATACTGAGCGCCTGACTGAACGCTTGCTCCGAATCATCACATCGTCACCCTCCTGTATATTTTTCACCCACATACAATCACATGTTGAGTTTTTGTTCGAAGTACAAACACTTGCAAGCGATTGGTTTCATGTTTCCATGCAACCTCGATTAGGGCAACCCCACAGAAATCTCAATTAAGGGGGTGCCTGGTTTTATAGCGTACACTACGTGGTATTTATAACGGCAGCAAAACCTAACATTCTCACATTAGATTTTTCAAACACGTGCGCGCGCACACACACACGCTCATTCAAATACACACTCACACACGTGCACGCCCTCGTTCACACACAGACACATGCAGGTGAGTGCTGGTGCTGACAAGACGCTTGAGTGCCCACACGCGGGAGAGAGAGAGCGCCCCACCTGCCGCCTCGCTTGCGCCGTCCGTACAGGTGGCAGTCGTAGGCGTAGTGGCCGCGCTCGCCACACTGGTAGCAGCGGTCCGTCGGGTCAAAGGGGCGGCGTGCCGGCGGGCGGCCAAAGCGCGAGCGCCGGCTCACGCCGTTGGACATCTCCACGCTTACGCGAGACCCACAGAGCAACCTGGAGAGGGGGCCATAAAAAGCAATGCCACGTTACTGAAAGTGCAAAAGACGTGCAAGGGATCGTGCCAGACCCAAGCAAATTTCACTGAAGATTTTTGCATGTGTTGCTTTTCATACTTTTGATCCAGTTGTGCATTACTTCGCTACCCTTGCACTTGTATTTGATTTGTCGGTACATTTTCCCCAGGTCTTCCTTACAGGACTGCTTGTCAGATATGCGAAATTACACAATGCAATTTCAGAAAAACTCTTTGCTATCCAGGACTTTAGCATTTGCAATGCTCCATTAACCGGCATCTGTCATAGACGGCAATAGAAAATCTTCCTTCACGTATCCAAAAAAAAGTCCCAAAAGCCATCCGGCATTTTGCCGTGCGCTTCAGGACGTTGCCAAGTGGTGGCACCAGCCGAGTCTCAATTGCAAACAGCACTGATCTACTTGTGCTGTCGTATAGAACTACTGTATAAACTACTCCTATATACAGTACTAGTGTATAAACTACTCCTGTATACAGTACACCTGTGCACTGTTCTTCAGACAGATTATGGGCACAGTTGCTTCTCATCCAATGTGCTTAATGCAGTTTGAAACCCAACATGTTCCAATTCCACAGTAATGGCATTGGAAGCAATGGGACACAGAACCTCATGATCAAAAGGTGTTGACAAGGATCATTGGGGGCTTTTGAGACTGTCCCGGTCTCTTGAGTTGCCACACGCTTAACCAGGATAAACTTGACTTCGGACACAGCGATCAAATGCGTATCGCACCGAACTTGCTGGGCAAGAACATTTATTAATGATAAAAGCCCCAAATGATCCTTATGTTAATGCGCTGTAATCATACGGTTCTGTGTCCCATTGCCCCAAGGCCGTTGCTGTGGAATTGAACATGTGGTTATTCAAACCATCACTTCTCCGAGGTCAATAACGCATTGGAGACTTCTCACTGCACCACTTTGTGGGGACTCCCACGGTGGTTGTACAATAAGACTGTCCCCCCCTCCACCAGAGGAATAAAGCATCTCCACCGCTGGGCCAGGGCTGGCCAACAGAGACAGGGACACTGCCTTGGATTAGTCAAGCGCAGACGCGCATCATCTTCGAAGGACTATCAGAATCCGATGTTTATTATCTGAGTAAATGACCCATTGAGCCATATAGATTTTTTTCAAGGGTGACTCGGCAGGCAGATAAGACACAGCAGCAATAGTTAATAAACAAGATATAAAATAAAAAAAATTGAAAGTGAATAAAAAACAAATGATCTTACGAAACAATTCCGTATAATCGCATTTGTATTGTTTGAAACCTCAATAATTAATGTTTAAAAGAGTTAGAGTGATAGCAGAGTGGTAATCCAAACAGAAGACAACAGGGTTGGTTTCATAACTTGGGAGCAGCTACGTGAAATTATTTTTTAACTGAAGTTGCGTATGAAATCAAGGAATCGTGAACAGACACGTCCGGCAGACTTTTTGGGATTATGTAACGGCACTAATAAATATGATAAAAGTGCAGATCTTTGGGTAATTGCCTTATAAACGCAAAGTGTGCGATACTCGCTTGCCTCTTGCTTGTTGTTGGTCAGGTACAGCTCACGCTCAACGTACGTATGTATTAACTTCTTTCACACCGTACGCTGTCAACCGTGCTAATCAGAGGTGCAGGGGAAGGACAACACACGGCAAATCCAGTAAAAACCAGCAAAGCCACCAAGACAACTCGGATGGGTTTTCTCAGTCTAACAAAGTATTCTTATTACTTCTAAAAGGCTGACTTAAGGTGGGATAATAAAAATTACCAATGTTTTTCTACGTATCCTGAGAGAAACCTTCACTGTCTAAGAGTTTCTATTTATTTTAAAACACAAAGAATGGTGTGCTAATTCATCTGTTTAAACAGAGATGGCCATACAAACCTGTTGTTGGCAAAAGATAAATGTGGAACAAGGCATGCCATTAACCAACCATAACATTTTACTGCTCAACTCTATCTCCTAGTAACCTATACTCTTGGCAAACAGGCCCCCAATACTTTATGCGTGGACAGCTTGAAAAGTAATCCAGCCCAGCACTCAATTTTCATTCACCATTCACTTTCTCCTCAACGGTTTAACTTGTTTTTTTTTACGCATTCATCCTGGAAAGACTCAGCAATTCGAGTCATGTTTGGCCAATTCAAAATAAAAGTCCGATTAGCATGTATGGCTACGTACGGTGCGAAAGAAGTTCAACATACACACGTACACTATAAACACGACTCTTCCACTGTGACACACATCTGTCTCCGTATTAAATGTCAAAACGTCAACCGACCCATACAACTGAGGTTGCATGAAGTGTTCATTGACTCGGCTACTGATGCAGGCAGTACTGAGAAGGAAACTGGCACTACACACGTGCAGGATGGACAACAGGATAATTAAAAGCATTTTGTTGTTTAGAATAAAAAAATATTTAAAATAAAAATTTTAAACACGCTTTAATGAAATGTACTGTCCGAGCTGACCCTCCCCCTGACCCCTTCCCCCATCGCCCCTCCCCTCCTTCCACATCCCCCACCCCTCGGCGTGGCTCCCCGAGGCTTGCCGTGACGTAAGGAACCGTGGTGATTTACAGCCAACGTGAGTTGAGCGTCGACAATTAGAGCCGTAAAAAAGATTGTTTAAAAATGTATATTTTTAAATTTTAATGATAGAATATAGTGTTGTCATCAGTATGACACACCTATACCAAGTTTGCAGTCGATACGACATTGGGAATACGGTTGAAATTGAGTTACAAGATTTTTGGATACGACACCACACAGGGTAAGTTAAATAAAAGCGCGTAAAAAGTAAAAAAATATATGTTTTGGATTCTTTATGATAGAATATCGTGTTGTCATCAGTATGACACACCTATACCTAAGTTTGCAGTCGATGGAACATTGGGAAGTGTGTAAAATTGAGTTACAAGATTTCTTTTTTGTGGATACAACAGACGAAGCGAGTTAAATAAAAGCGTGTAAAAAACAATGAAAGGAAGGCCTACCAGAGAATAGCTTGACGACGACATAAGAGATTGGTGCCAGAAAGATGTGGTGTTAATTGAGCATATTGGCACAGCAGACAGAGAGCGGAAACAAACTATTAATTTCGATTTAAAGCTTTCGTGACTGCAGGGATTCATCTTCTTGGTTCTTTCGGTAAAGTCACGTAGAAGGGAAATAATAAAAAAATGTATTGTTTTATTTTTTTATTTCCCTTTACGTGACTTTACCGAAAGAACCAAGAATAAACTATTGTGTAGTGGACACCTACGGGCTATCTGCCCATCATGGATCGTGATGATGCTAACTACTACAACTGCTGGGGTTTTTTGTGCTCACGCTGTGATGACGCTCTTCCTTACATATTTTCGGCTATTTTCGGCTAGTACCCCCATGTAGTTCGGCACGACGCCAAGACATTTATCTCCACGTGCCGGACCCTTCTTGAGGAACCGAATTCTATTCAATGATGACTGTGAAATATTCGGTTCCTGAAAAATCTCCCAGCAACGTGGTGAGAGAAACGTTGGTCACAGATGCCAACACAGCACAGCCCGAAAAAAGACGTCGAAGGGTTACAATCCGTTGTTTCACAAATGGCACAAGTAGGACCACACATTATGGCATTCTATTCCAGTCGGGGTTTCTGCATTTTAAGCGCCTACATCATAGCTAGAGAATGCAGCCCCCCTGCCTATCAGGGGAAAAGATCGTCACACTTCAAATGAAAACATGTCAACAACACCAGCATCATGTCATGTCGCAGTGTCACTTCAGGCACAAAAGCCAAATTAAAGCAACACGTCTGGTCAACGTGGAAGAGTAGACCAAAGACCCTGTCGAGTTCGCTCTCGCGGAGACCCTTCTGCAAGCAGTGGCGTGAGCAAGCAATTGCAGGTCGCACCAAAGTTACCTTTTTTTTCTAGTCCTGCCATGTTGTAGCAGCCCTCTTACAGAGGCCTGTATGATGAACTTCTTCCGCCCTGTACGTAGCCAACCGTGCTAATCGGGAGGTGCGAGTGCAGTGCGTTTGTGGGTTGCCCCAGCGTGCGGTGAGGGCAAGAGCAGTTCGACTCACCTCCCATCCAGTCCCCGCACTGTGTCCTCTGCGTCCCTTGTGTCCTCATATTCTACAAAGGCAACGGTAGGCGGATTAGGGGCCACCCACACGTGACGCAGCGCGCCATAGTATCCAAACGCTTGCTACAATTCTGCCTTAGCAGCCCTGGTTCCTAGATTGCCCATGTACACCTTACACTCGACAACAAGCACGGACACGACACCGCTTTACTCACGGGGGAAAATTTTGTACTCTCCAAAAGGTCAAATGCACGCAAATGAGATTTTTATTTATTTACAGACATGTTTAAAAATAATCACTAGTTATTTCAAATGTTTTATTATGATCACTATTGACGAGAACATTTAAACACGTTTCATGATTAAAAGTGTGATGCGTTAACCGTTGTAGCACCCCCAACGGCAACCACTGCTTGTAAATATAATTGACCCCCAAGTCCGAGTCAAATTATCCTGAGCCGTGAAACTCAAGTGAGGCTGAAATTCCTGTTAAGAGGAAAGTACAGGGTTACTCGTAGAAACGACTCTTCTCATCTGCATGGGGCGGTGACATGGCCAAGCGGTGGCATTGATGGCAGCTTGTTGTAGAGGTTGGCCCGTTCAGGCCCCACAACCGCCCCTGGTAAACGCTGCGGGGTGCATTAACCTTATATACAGTTTAACACCCAGTAAGCTGTCGCGACCAATACCATCCGTAATAAGAGGTTTTTTGGGTTGGATCGGGTAAATATGTCTTTAAACCCGCCACCACCCGACACAGCCAATTAGCAAGGTTTGTCACGTAAACAGAACGTACCAATTCGTTACTCGAACAGCACACCGGTGTGGAGAGCAAATCCACAACATTTACAATCTGAGGAGGGGGGGGTTAAATATCACTGCAAGACGCTTCTCTGTAGTGGGAAAAGCCGGCAGGTGAGAAAAGATGGTACAAATCATGTTTTCTGCACCATGGCTTGAGGAGTGTTTTCCAAACAATACTGATATAACTTGGGGTGCACCGAAAACAACTTTCTCGTCTGACAAAAATATTATCACAAGATGTTCAGCAAATTTTATTCCAAAGCTAAAATAGCAATTTGTTTAATGTTTTTTTCATAAAAATGGTCTCCTTATGCATCTCGCGTCTGTCTCTTGTTTTTTTGCTCTCCATCTCCATATGGCTTCCTTCATCTCTATCACAATGTCCGTCTCACTCTGATTTTGCGCCTCCCTATTTGTATATATTCCCCTCCCCACCCCACGTGTCTGTATTTACACTGTCTTATTCTTGTCTCTCACCTGTCCTTGTTTCTCCCTCACCATCTGTCTCATCTCTCTCCATGCCTGTGTATTGTCTCCGTCTCCTTTACCATGAGCTCGTCTGGGAGCATAAACCATCACGCGAACTCCGGTCATCCTCGCAGCTACGCGGCTTTTGGCTAGCTGTCAAACAAAGACGGTGGTCACCACATCGCGCACTTTCAGATGCGCCTTTGCGGCCTTCTTTCTTCCGATATCAGGAAGCCATAGGAGCCATGCACTTTTATCTTAATCTAGATTTTTTAAAAATCTTTACAACTGCTTTGTGTATTTAGTTTGCTGTCCCGTCCCCAGCACTTCTGAAGTGCATGGTTGGCTACGTACGGCGCGAAAGAAGTTCAAAGTACACAGCTCATGGTGAGCAATGTTTGTACCTCTTTCCCATGCCCCCCGTGATCCTCCCCCCCCCCCCCCCCAATGGTCACATTATTAAGGTGGCCAACGATGCTCAATGCGATATATTCGGCTTTGCATCTTTCTTCTCTCGATAAAATTCTACCAAATACCAATACTAACAATGCCAGGACTTTACCAAATTTTAATGGAAAAGTGAATATTCGTTGCACCCCTAATTACACATCGTCAGCCACGGTCTATCCATACTGGACGAAGATAACCCCACAAAGTTTCCATACCTCGTGAAATTACGATTTCACAATCCATCTCCTTTCGTTCTCCCTCCTGATGCCAAATGTAAGAATCATCCTCTCATCGCGGCTCTGATTACCCTTAACCCTTGCATTGTAGTCTCGCCTTTTTATGACGAAGTGTGCTCTGTCATTTAGAAGCTGGTTAACTGCTTCATACATTTGGTCTACGTATACATCTTCATCGCTTGTAATTTAATATATATGAATTACCTTAGCCCGGAGCGAATCGATTTAACGTTAGCTGGGCAATTGTCTAAAGTCCTCTATTCCTTGCAAAAAACCCACTTCTCTAAAATCGTCGTCCTATTTCCTGCGAAGACTGAAAATGTTGGCAATATTTAAATGCACTCAAATTTCTCCTCACTTCAGTCGGAATGTCTCAATTCATGTCTTACTTCAGCCTCCAGTTAAGATACGGTTCAAATGTGTCAAGTGTTACGCATTAGTGGTCAAAATCAGAATTCTTCCTGTTCGTACGCACACACAGACAAATCTCGCGTTGCATGGCCAGTGACAATTAAACACCTCGAGTGGAAGTTAGTTAAACAGTACGCTGTAATAAGTATAACCCGTAAAAACAAAGTTTTTCACTATAAATCCTTTATATGCGTGGCGGCGAGAGTCCTCTCGTCCTCTGGCTTGAGATGGCTGCCACCTATGTGTCAGATGATTGTCTGCCAGTATTAAACAATTGGTAATTAAATATTTAATTTGTTTTCCCTAAAAAGTGTACAATTTTGGAAAAAAATTTCACGAACATTAATTGTCTCGCACAACGAGTCTGTGTGCAAAATGTCAGCTCGATTGGATCACGGGAAGTGGGTTAAAAAACGACCGAAAGATTTGCACGGTCGTAAGCAAGCAAGCAAGCACGCAAGCGAACTTAATATAAAGGATTTAAAAAGAAAGCCTATAAAGCTTGCAGCCGCAAAAAACCAATCTTATCCTGACGATACGTCTTGACGAATGTTCGAGAACCAAGCGTTTAGAGGTATTTGGCTGCTGCTATAAATGTCCACATGACAAGCCACCTCGTTGAGCTTCATTTGTGTTAGCCGGATCGCAATATGGAATATATCTCAGTGTGGGCCTTGCCTCGGTAAAACTAAAATTAGTGTAATTGCTTAAAAAGTACCGGTTGAGACAATGCCACAAAGTATATACATCATACACATTCTTGATTTGAAGCTTTCGTGACTGCAGGAATCCATACTCTTTGGTTCTTTCGGTAAAGTCACGTAGGTAGAAAATAAAATGATGGATGCTTGTGTTGCGGCCCTAAACGTCGTGATTTATTTTATACCTACGTGACTTTACCGAAAGAACCAAAGAGTATCATACACATTATACAAAACGTGTACATATCGTAACTGAACCAATATTATCAAGAGACATTGACGCCAAATGATACGAATGGCTAATCTCAAGCAGAATTAAGACCGCTTGATTAAACGTACAATACTGAGAAATATTACAATTGGTGATACCGCTGCTGCTGCGTTGGCTACAGATGCACAAATATCACCCTCACATTCGCAAACAACACGGTGACCTTACTCTTAGGTTCTTTCGGTAGTCACGTAGGTAAAAAAAGAATAAAATAAATACAAATAAATACTATAAATCATCGTTTCGGAGGCAACGTCGTGATTTAATTTAGTTATTTCCATTATTATTATTTTATTATTTATTTTTACCTACGTGACTTTACCGAAAGAATCTAAGAGTATGAATCCTTGCAGTCACGAAAGCTTCAAATCTAGAATTAACTGTGACCTTAAATGGAAAAATATACAATCGGCGACGCTTCGGGCAATGACCCTTCTGCATGGCACACGTGCAATATTTAGTTTCTTTCAAGGCAGTGTTATTGACCAATGTGTTGAGTTTCTTTGGTTAACACAATTAAGTCTTCGTGTGGGTGTTGATGTAGCAGCTCACTACTCTCTTTAAGTTGTTACACGGGAGTTGATTGAGTCAGATAATTGCGTCAGGGTTAGCAGCACAATTATAAGCGTGGAAAAGCAGACGGGACCGATTGACTTCAAACACATGTGTGCTTCCCGTTAACAACAAAAAACTCCACACAAATCACGGAATTCTTCCGATAATTGCCCTTTCAAACCACAAATCGGAATCCACTGCCCTCACCCCCTCAACTTGTATTTAAGAGCTTGTCTCTTGGAATTTTGCCTCACTTGAGACAGTAAATTTAGCTGTGACGGTCCCACCTGATGCGGAGACTTGTGTAGCCTCCGAAACGTCGTGATTTATTATTTTAATTCTATTATTTCAATTATGTTTATTATTTATTTTTACCTACGTGACTTTACGAAAGCTTCAATTCTAGAATTAACGCGTAGTCGACTTCCGATTGTCAATGTTGTAGATTTGCTCACGAACACACCGCTGTGTGTTGTACTAGTAACGAATTGGCACGTTCTGTTTACGTAACAAACCTTACTGTGTCGGGTGGTGGCGTGTTTAACGACACATTCATTTATTTACGCGATCTAACACCCCCCCAAAACAACCTCTATTATGGATATTGGTCGCGAAAGGCCCCTAGGTGCTGAACCGATTTCGACTCTTCACAAATACCTCGACCAAAGCAACGCCGTCAACAATTAACAACTCGGCGTTTTGTCCTCCCCACCCACCCACCCCAACACTAATCGTAGAACATTATAAATTAACACTTCCCCGACGCGATCGTGTTCTGAGGGCCACCTCCAACTTAGGCCGCGGCGCGTAGCCCCAACGAGCACCATCGTTCTCGGCTAGCGTGGTACGACACGCGGCGATAACGAGGTGACCGCGCGCGTATCGCCTCTCGGTCATCGCCGTGGCTCGACGAGGTGTGGGGGACGCCTCGTCGTCATTACACAGCAACAATCAAACGTAAAAATGAAACCAAAAACAGACGCGAGAAGACGGCCCTCACGAACCTCCGCCGTAGCGCGACATGGCGGGAAGGCGGCGGTGACGATATGGCGGCGCGCATGCGCAGTGGCGGCGCCCACTGAGTCGAGCGCGCGACCCCCACCGAGCCCCGCCCCTCACCGAGCCCCCCCATCCCACCGAGCCCCGCCCCTCACCAAGCCCCCCCACCCCACCGAGCCCCTCCCCCTCACCGAGCCCCCCCACCCCACCGAGCCCCGCCCCTCACCGAGCCCCCCCACCCCACCGAGCCCCGCCCCCCACCGAGCCCCCCCACCGAGCCCCTCCCCCTCACCGAGCCCCCCCACTCCACCGAGCCCCTCCCCCTCACCGAGCCCCCCCATCCCACCGAGCCCCGCCCCTCACCGAGCCCCCCCATCCCACCGAGCCCCTCCCCCTCACCGAGCCCCCCCATCCCACCGAGCCCCGCCCCTCACCGAGCCCCCCCACTCCACCGAGCCCCGCCCCTCACCGAGCCCCGCCCCTCACCGAGCCCCCCCATCCCACCGAGCCCCGCCCCTCACCGAGCCCCCCCATCCCACCGAGCCCCGCCCCTCACCGAGCCCCCCCACCCCACCGAGCCCCGCCCCTCACCGAGCCCCGCCCCCTCCCCAAGCCCCCCCATCCCACCGAGCCCCGCCCCCTCCCCAAGCCCCCCCATCCCACCGAGCCCCGCCCCTCACCGAGCCCCCCCATCCACCGAGCCCCGCCCCCTCACCGAGCCCCCCCATCCCACCGAGCCCCGCCCCCTCACCGAGCCCCCCCACCCCACCGAGCCCCGCCCCTCACCGAGCCCCCCCACCCCACCGAGCCCCGCCCCTCACCGAGCCCCCCCACCCCACCGCCCCCCGCCCCCTCCCCAAGCCCCCCCATCCCACCGAGCCCCGCCCCTCACCGATTCCCCCCATCCCACCGAGCCCCGCCCCCTCACCAAGCCCCCCCCCACCCCACCGAGCCCAAATGAATATTCCAGAAGTTCACTTTCTCACTCCGTAAGATATCTCCCCTATTCGTGAATGCTCTTTCTGTTCTGACGATCAGAATCTGAGGTTACACTGCAGGAGGAATCCGATGAGCTATGAAGCTCTTTTTGTTCACAGATGTCCACGGGGTAAGAACGTTACAACAGTCACACAAAGCTCGATGGGAGTGCAACGTCGTAGTTGGTTCTTTCGGAAAAAGTCACGTAGATTGAACAATTTTTATAAAAATCAAGTGAATAAATGAAATAAATATATTATTTCTTATTTTTATTTACAATTTATTTTTTCACTTTTTATTTTTTTTATCTACGCGACTTTACCTAAACAACCAAAGAATATTAATTCCTGCAGTCACAAAAGTTTTAAGTCTGAGTGCAAAGTGCTAGCAAGGTGCCCCTACGTGGACATGTGAAAAGTGCTTTACAGCTCATCGGATTCCTCCTGCAGGATAAATAAACATTTAGATCTGATCCTATTCCGTTAGATCAATCCTATTCCGAAAGATCAATCCTATTCCGTTAGATAAATCCTGTTCCTAAATGCCCTTCTTATTCCGGAAGTATTTGCTAATTTTGGGATGGCTCCATCTATTTTTCCCATTTCAGAAGATGCTTTCGATGTAGGTAGATTGTGCCTACTCCGGAAAATACTTGATACTTCGGAAAGATCATCCCGATCATATCCTGCTAGAAACGTCCAGGTCACTCGATCTGCTAGTTCCATTGGGAGCCGTGCACTTTTAAATCATCATTCAGATTGAAAACTCATTTCTTTAGAGCTGCTTTGTTGTGCTTAGTTTGCCGTTCCTCTCCCACACCTCTGCTCAGCCACGGTTGGCTACGTACTGTGCGAAAGAAGTTCAACATACATACAAGGCAAAGATCCACCATAAAGTCTTGAGCGGGAATCGAACTTGGGTGGCCAGATTCGTAGCGCAGCGCGCTAACCGCGACACTTGACATCACTTGTCACGAATGTTAACAGTGGCTGCAGCAGCAGCAGCAACTGCAGCAGCAGCAGCAACTGCAGCAGCAACTGCAGCAGCAGCAGCTGCAGCAGCAGCAGCTGCAGCTCCCTTTGATGCTGTTAATCCTGCATAATGCACATGCATATGCAGTACTAATCACATTCCTGCATTTCCCATAAATATGCTAAATTCCTCTTGATATGCAAATTCCTTTGTCAAGGCGCCCAGCTTATATATATGCTCCAAGCTCGTGTGCTGTTTCATTCAGACTCTGTCGCCTCGACGGACCTGGTTTTCACCTGAGGACGGCTGCTTGCGTTGTGGCCGAAACGTCGTGAGAATAATTTTATTATGTTTTATTTTTATTATTTTATTACTTCCCTTCTACGTGACTTTACCGAAAGAACCAAGAAGATGAATCCCTGCAGTCACAAAAGCTTTAAATCAAAATTTAGTGGCTGGGAAGTCACTGGAGCTGTGCACTTTGAAGTGATTATCGAGATTGAAAACTCATTCCTTTCGAGCTGCTTTGTTGTACATCCCGCACACCTCAAATTAGCCATGGTTGGCTACGTACGGCGCGAAAGAGGTTCCACATACAGTGCATACAATCCACTGCTGGATGAACGCCTCTCCCCCCCCCCCCCAAACACCACGTGGGCCGCTGATGTACACCACGTGGGCCGCTGATGGACACCACGGCCGGGTTCTTAGAGCGTCGCGCTAACCGCAGCGCCACCGCTCGCTCCCCTATTAATGTTTACCACGTGGTTAAGCACATCAATAACACAATTCCCATTGACAAGACGACCATTTCATTTACAAACGCGGCATTTATTGATAAATTAACGACCGTTACAAGCAGAGAGTACACAGGGAACCCGATCGAGATCCGTCACACACACAGATTCGTCACACACACACACACATGTCTGTCACACACACACAGAGCCGTCACACACACAGATCCGTCACACACACACACAGATCCATCACACAAACACACATATTCGTCACACACACACACATATCCATCACACACACACACAGATCCATCACACAAAAACACAGAGCCGTCACACACACACAGAGCCGTCACACACACACAGATCCGTCACAAACACACACACAGATCCGTCACACACACACAGATCCATCACAAACACACACAAGATCCGTCACACACACAGTGATATGTCACACACACACAGATCCATCACACACACACAGGTCTGTCACAAACACACAGAACCGTCACACACACACAGATCCGTCACACACACACACACAGATCCATCACACAAACACACAGATCCGTCACACACACACACAGATCCGTCACACACACACAGAAGAGATTTAACACACGGGGTGGTCAGCAGTCTACGATCCGTGGGCCAAACAGCTGGGCAGCTCCATCATCTCATGGGGCCCGCAAAGCGGTTGACGATGGATGACTCGGCAGGTGGACTCCCACGAGAGTGATCCATCGCTAGGACGGATGATGCTGATGATGCTGATGATTCCGAGTAACGCCGGCTCTTGGTCAGGTTGACTGAGGTCGACGCACCTGTACTCTGCATGTAAGGTCGACGAGCGTGAGGTGGATTGTAAGAGGTTGACTCCGGTGAGGTCGACCCGTGTAACGCCGACTTGTGTAACGCTGCCTCGCATGAGGTCAACTCTTACAAAGGTCGACACTTGTCACGGCTCCCATGGAGTATGGGAGGTCATCTCTTCAGATGATGATGAAGAGGTGGAGGGGGGGGGGGTCATCTCTTCAGATGCTGGTGAAACAGGTGGAGGGGGGGTCATCTCTTCAGATGATGATGAAGAGGTGGAGGGGGGGTCATCTCTTCAGATGTTGATGAAGAGCGACTGCCCTTGCTTCAGATAATAATAATATAGCCTAGCCAGATGCTGTTGAAGAGATGAAGAGGTGAAGGGGGGGGGTCACCTCTTCAGATGCTGATGAAGAGCGACCGCCCTTGCTGGGGCTCACTGCTCGTGCCTTTCTGTCGCTCCTCTGCCTCTCCGCCACTTGGCCCCATCCAGGGATTGAACACATCCCCTTGAGCTCGGAGGCCTCCACCGCTGCCGCCGCCGCCGTTGTCCACGGCAGCAAGCGGAGGGGACCGGGGCCCCAGGCCTGAGCAAGGCCTCACGTCCAGCAGGGCCTCCTGCAGGGTCCACAGCTGGCAGAGCAGCCACAGGTCCATCTGTCGCAGGCCCACCTTGAGGAGCACGGGGGGGGCGAGGTGAGAGAAGTCTACATCAGTCGGGCTGCGTCGTGCCCACTGGCAACCGCCGGCCGCCCATCAACCAAGACCTCAGCAGTGTCGTCTCCTTACCACCGCCGACTCAAGTCCCGATCCCATCCCTTCTGGGATCGCGCTGCTGCTGCTGCCGCGGTCACCGACCATCCTAGGATCTCGCCACCGGAGATCACCAGGAAGAACGCCGTTTGGCGAACAGAGTGGAACAACGCGGACGTACGGAACAAACGCCTCCTCCTTTCGAGACCCAAGCATCATCGCATCTCCTCCTGGCTTCGGCATTCATCCTCGAAGACGCTGCCGCTGTGACCATCAGGACATCATCAGCTGGTCGAGGCGCACATCCCCTTCAGGGATTGAACATTAAAGACACCACCACATCCACAGGAGTGCGATTGTGGCCACGCAAACCACAACTACGGACCGCACGGCGAAACCCTCTGTGGTCTGCGCTCATTCAACGGAAGAGGAGGGGGGAACAGCAGCACCACACGGACTCTCTCTGTCGGCTGAAGCCCTTTCGTCGTGGCCAGCAGCAGATCTCGACTTTGGCATTGAGCTCTTGAACATATTGGCATCATATATGCAAGAACAGAATAGTCGGGCTGTCCAGATGTTAACTACCTGGCCCAGTATGCATGAGATCGTGAGTTCGATCCCGACCCTGTCGCCTGCATATTTGGAGTTTGTGCCTCTCTCTCTCTCATCATGGTCGCGTGGATTTTTCTCCGGGTCCTCCAGTATTTCCCTCCACATTTAGAAACAACCTCACGTGTTTAGAGTGCTTGGCTGCTATACATTTCCACGTGATGGGATAAGCCACTTCGTTGGGCCATCATGTATTATGGCCAGGTCGCTTCTGAACAAGAGCTACACATTCCGATTTAAAGCTTTCGTGACTGCAGGGATTCATCTTCTTCTTGGTTCTTTCGGTAAAGTCACGTAGACAGACCTGGTCTTCACCTGAGGACGGCTGCTTGCGTTGTGGCCGAAACGTCGTGAGAATTGTATTTTATTATGTTTTATTTTTATTATTTTGTTATTTCCCTTCTACGTGACTTTACCGAAAGAACCAAGAGGAAGAAGAGCTACACAGCTCAGTGGACCTTACCTGGTAAAATAGAGAATAGTTTAAATAGTTTAGTTTAGCTTCCTCGACCCGAGGTCGCTCCGGTGACAAAAGCAGGACGGGTGGCAGGCAACCCTGAGCACGATCAAGAATGTGCGCCCGTCATGCTCCAGATCTGCCAAATTTAAGAAATCACAATGCACGTTCCCCAATTGGGATTACTCAGAGGAAGGTCGCACCCACCCCTCCCCCACCCACCTTTCACCCCAAACCCCCCCACCACCCCCACCCCCCCACCCACCTTTCACCCCAACCCCCCACCACCCCCACCCCCCCACCCACCTTTCACCCCAAACCCCCCCACCACCCCCCACCCCCCCACCCACCTTTCACCCCAAACCCCCCCACCACCCCCACCCCCCCACCCACCTTTCACCCCAACCCCCTACCACCCCCACCCCCCCACCCACCTTTCACCCCAAACCCCCCCACCACCCCCACCCCCCCACCCACCTTTCACCCCAACCCCCCACCACCCCCACCCCCCCACCCACATTTCACCCCAAACCCCCCCACCACCCCCACCCCCCCACCCACCTTTCACCCCAACCCCCCACCACCCCCACCCCCCCACCCACCTTTCACCCCAAACCCCCCCACCACTTCCACCCCCCCACCCACCTTTCACCCCAAACCCCCCCACCACCCCCACCCCCCCACCCACCTTTCACCCCAACCCCCCACCACCCCCACCCCCCCACCCACCTTTCACCCCAAACCCCCCCACCACCCCCACCCCCCCACCCACCTTTCACCCCAACCCCCCACCACCCCCACCCCCCCACCCACCTTTCACCCCAAACCCCCCCACCACTTCCACCCCCCCCACCCACCTTTCACCCCAAACCCCCCACCACCCCCACCCCCCCACCCACCTTTCACCCCAACCCCCCACCACCCCCACCCCCCCACCCACCTTTCACCCCCAACCCCCCACCACCCCCACCCCCCCACCCACCTTTCACCCCAAACCCCCCCACCCCCCCCACCCACCTTTCACCCCAAACCCCCCCACCTCCACCCCCCCCCCCACCCACCTTTCACCCCAAACTCCCAACCCCCACACCCCCCACCCACCTTTCACCCCAAACCCCCCCACCCCCCACCCACCTTTCACCCCAAACCCCCCCACCCCCCCCACCCACCTTTCACCCCAAACCCCCCCACCCCCCCCACCCACCTTTCACCCCAAACCCCCCCACCACCCCCACCTCCACCCCCCCACCCACCTTTCACCCCAAACTCCCAACCCCCACACCCCCACCCACCTTTCACCCCAAACCCCCCCACCCCCCACCCACCTTTCACCCCAAACCCCCCCACCCCCCCCCCACCCACCTTTCACCCCAAACCCCCCCACCCCCCCCACCCACCTTTCACCCCAAACCCCCCCACCACCCCCACCTCCACCCCCCCACCCACCTTTCACCCCAAACTCCCAACCCCCACACCCCCCACCCAACTTTCACCCCCACACACCCACCCACCCACCCCCCTCATGTGAACCGACTCCAGACTGTGTCTGGGAGTTCCTCCTGGTGTGGTGGTGATGGTAGTGAGCGGTGGTGCAGCGGTTAGCGCTACGAACCCGGTGACCCGAGTGCGATTCCCGCTCACGGCCACCAACACCACCGGTGACGATTATCTGAACCGGTCTTGGGCCTTCCCGAGGTCGACTCAGCCTCAAATGAGTACCTGGTGTAGTGTGTAAGCTTCGATACTGGGGAGACAAAGGCGGCCGGGCGTGGTGTTGGCCACCCACCCACTTCGTGTGCCGTGCCAGCCTTCATAGGTGCTTCTCGTTAACAGCACTTGCCCCAAGCGTCTGTGAAGGCTATACGGGGGATCTTTGTCTTTGTTTATGGTACGTTGGTGGTGGTGGTGTTGGTGGCAGTGGTGGCATCAATAACATTGATGGAGGCAATAGTGTGGTGTCGGTGGTGTGGCGCCGAGGTTCGTGGTGTTGCTGGCGGTCGTGGTGAACGTTACAGCATTGTCTCGACATGATGTTGGTGGTGACGTGGTCCAGGTGGTGGTGTGAATGACGGCAATAGCGGCGTCAGCTGCCACAGTGGTGGCTACGATGATACTGGTAGGAAACACCTGGTTCCACCAGCCCACAGGGGATTATTGTGTCCGTCCGTCGTGCATCCAAAAATGGGATGGGGTGGGGCTGGGTTGAGAGGGGAGGGTAGGGAGGGGCTGGGTGGGGAGGGTGGGGAGGGGCTGGGTGGGGAGGGTGGGGAGGGGCTGGGTGGGGAGGGTGGGGTGGGGAGGGGAGGGGCTGGGTGGGAGGGGTGGGGCTGGGTGGGGAGGGGCTGGTCACCCCGTGGTGCCCTTATAAAACTCAACGTTTAACCTTCTCACGCCGGCTTGTGCCCGCCCTCACAGTCGGGCATATTTGCGGAATACACCACGCCGCCGTTGACCCTGGCCATTGACCGAGCAACCCAACGTTCCTACCAGCTCCCTCCGCAGGAATGTGTTGATATTGGTGTTAGCATGCAGATCGTTTGGTGAGTTCTCTGAAAAGGTTCCAATGAAATAAAACTTGACTTACAGAGCACTATTCGTGCATGAAATGCAATACAAAGTGATTTACAAGGCAAATTAAAATCGACTGACACAATTTAAATAACAATAATATGAATACGTTAAAAAGACGTAACATAATTAACTAAAAGTATCACAAAAGGCATAATAGGCACATAATCAGGGCATCCTAATTAAAAGCCAATCTATAAAGATATGTGTTTTAATGTCGTTTAAAAACATTCACATTGCATGACTGATTTTAAATTAGTTAACAATAAGTAATATCGTTTTTAAAATCAGTTATTACGCAATCGCAATAATATATACGCTCTACATTACTGTGATTTTTGTCTTGTGAAAAAAAATGAGAAGTTGTATATCGTTAGCTTAGGGATTGGAGTTAAAAATCACTGTCCAAACACACGTCCCCCAATTTTTTTTGTTAGTATCAAACTAATGGCAAGAGCCATTCCAATGTACGAAATTGCGTGTCCCGCATGTGTATCTGAAGGGCAACATCATCATCGTCGTCGTCGCCTTTCGAAAGCCGAGGGATACCTCGGTACCAATCGAGGCCTCATTTTGTTGGCCTTGTGCCATAGGAACGGCGTCATACAAAAATGTAGCAACATTTTTTTTAAGCAACTAATTACTTATTACTTGGTTCTTTCGCTAAAGTCACGTAGTTAGAGATAAAACCACCTGATGATGATTGCGTGTGTTGCAATCGAAACGTCGTGATTTGTTTTTAATTTATTTTATTTTCTACCCACCTGACTTTACCGAAAGAACCCAAGGACTATGGATTCCTGCAGTCACGAAAGCTTTAAATCAAAACCAATTGCTTATTTAATATTATTTTATAATAATTATTTAGCACATTTGGTATCACGCCGTTCTTATTGTGCCATAATAATTATTAAATAAAAGTATTATTAATGATTACAGGGTGCTTAAAAATATATTCTTAACACTTCTGAGAATTTGCAACAACACCACCTGGAGAAGATTCCAGGCGTAGCGTTCACAATGATGGCGAATAAGTGGAGAATGACTTTTAAAAGCTATTAACATTACATTTGTTATCGTGTTACAGTGTAGTAAGATCCGTTCTTTTTCCATTAAAAACGATAGTCCCATAATAAGTGTTAAAATGTTTGAAACACCCTGTATTAAATAATAATTATATATTTTTCTTATTTTTTCACTATTTTTTTGGTAAATAATTCATTCTCCATTCACGTACCCCCCCCCCCCAACCACCTGGATTCCCACGACTTTCAACAACAATATCCTCATACTCTTTGGTTCTTTCGGTAAAGTCACGTAGGTATAAAATTAAAAAAATCACGACGTTTCGGGCGCAACACAAGCGTGGTGATTTATTTTATTTTATACCCACGAAAGAACCAAAAAGTATTAATTCCTGCAGTAACAAAACGCTTCAAAATCAACAATGTCCTCACCATCTCCCGACGGAGGAGCGCCAACGCAGCACCCAGACCGTGCGGTCGGGCGACACGCGCCGAGTAGCAGGCGGAGGAGGCGGCGGATGACGAGGAGTAGGAGGATGAAGAGGAGCCGGCCATGTCGGTGTGGCCGGACCCCGTGGCCTGGAGCTCCGCGTGCAGTCGGCTGCGTGCGGCGTAGAGGCGACCCGCGTCCCGCCAGCTCTCGCGGCTCGAGTGCAGCAGGGCGCTGAGGCTGCGAGGCAGGGGCGGGAGACCCGCGACACGAGCCGGGAAGGGGGCGAAGGCCGGCACGTCCATCTGCGTCGAGGGGGGCGAGGTGGTGGTGGAGGTGGTGTCAATTACGGGTCGCGGCACGGGCTGGAGAAGAGATGGAAGCTGATGCGGTACGGGAGGACGTGGAGCTGAGTGGACTTTGACGATGACCGGTAACCCAGCCGTGTGTCGCGGCACGGGCTGGAGAAGAGATGGAAGCTGATGCGGTACGGGAGGACGTGGAGCTGAGTGGACTTTGACGATGACCGGTAACCCAGCCGTGTCGAGATTAGCCTCTGTGGAAGAGGAGGAGGCTCGTGAAGGACGCTGCTGCTGCCACTGGGCAATTGGAGGCAGTCGCCCTCCGGCAACAACGGAGGGCGGAGCGCCGGGCGGATAAAACGCAGCAAGTTGTCACATTGGGGGGTACAGGACTACAGGTGGTGCATCGGCCACTCGTCTCAGTCAACCGATGGCACCTGCTGGGTCTGTCCCGTGGACCTCCTGTCAACGAGCATTCGACACCTTCACGTGGCCTCGGAGTGCACCTAGCCTGGCACAAGCGCCGTCACCGCCACTTAGTGGCGAATCGCGGCCGTTGCTGTTGTTGGTGTCGATGAACATCAATTTGGCTCGATGCTACACGGCATCTCCTTCATACATGTAAGATGCAAGTCACAGTGGTGCGATTCTGGTAATGCAACCCAATCTGTGGACCGCACAGAAAACCCTGAGACACATGGAGATACATAGAGACCCATAGAGATATACAGACCCATAGAGACAAGTGGAGACACATAGAGATACATAGAGACCCATATAGATACACAGATGCATAGAGATACACAGAGAAACACAGAGACCCATAGAGATACACAGAGACCCATAGAGATACATAGAGACACATAGCGATACAGAGACCCATAGAGCTACATTAAGACACAAGCCACAGCAGTGAGACTGTGGCCATACAACCCACACTACGGACCCTACAGTGAACCCACAGTGGTCTGCGCTCTTTCAAAGGTGTAGAAGGAAGAGCGACACGACACCAATTCTCTCTCTCTACCCCCCCCATCTCTCCCCCTCTCTCTCGCACCTTCACCTGCTCGGCCACAGATTTCCCAATCGCCGCGCGGTCCGCGCCGCGCTCTCGGACAAGGTGAAGAAGCGAAGCTGCCGACGACTTTCGCGGTCGTTCGTTCCCCCGGGGCGAGGAGCTTCGCGGCACGAACGGTGCTCGGGTCGCAGCGAAACGTCTCGTTCGCAGTGCCAGTCGAGGAGGGCGCGCGGATCGACACGCGTCACCGCCCCCCCCCCTCTCGGGCAGGGCCAGCCCTCCCCCTATCCTGCCCCCCCCCTATCCTGCCCCCCCCTCCCCTGCCCCCCCCCTCTCCTCCCCTCTCTCACCACCCACCCCCAACGCACACCAACCTACACCACCCCCGATTAGGGTCGTGAAACCACAACCGGTTAAAGCCGAGAACCGTTTGTGAATTGGGTCGGTGATGGAGTATGTCGGTGGTGGAGTATGTCGGTGGTGGTTGCTGCTACGGTGGCAGTGGTGCACAAGGGCGGGCAACTAGCAGCGACTTTAAAATAAAAAAAAACAGAAAATAAAACGACTCGCCACGTTGCGCGTCGAAGACACTGCGACCTTGCAAGGGGAACATCTGATAGGCGACGATTCGGGCGATGCACCTTCTTCGTAGCAGGTAAAATGAAGGGGCATTGCTCGAAACGTTGATAATAATTATTATGTTTCTTCTTGTTGATGAATATTTTGAGTTGTTGTGGTTGTGCACAGCGGCCAACGCAGCAGCTGCAGCACTAAATACGTATCAGAAGTGTATACGTTTAACTAACTATATTATTTAACCAGTTAAGGCCCACTGAGTCGTGTAGCTCTTTTTCAGAAGCGACCTGCCATCACAAATGATAGCTGAGCTAAGTGGTGGCTTATCACGTGGACATTTATAGCAGCCAAAGACTCCCTAAACGCACGTTTATAACATCATCATCATCACGTGTGAATGTATCGAAGCAGCCAAATCATCTAAACGCGTGATGTTGATTCTAAATGTTGAAGGACAAAACATGAGGAACCGGAGATAAAAATCCACGCGACCACGGGTAGAGAGAGAGACACGCAAACTCCAAATATACAGCAGCAGGCGTCAGGGTCGGGATCGAACCCACGACCTCCTGTGCACCAGGCGAAGTAGTTAACATCTAATAGCCACCGTGATGATGATGATGAGATAGAGAGACGCGCACTCCAAATATACAGCAGCAGGCGTCAGGGTCGGGATCGAACCCATGACCTCCTGTACACCAGGCGACGTAGTTAACATCTCCTAGCCACCGTGATGATGATGAGATAGAGAGACGCACACTCCAAATATACAGCAGCAGGCGTCAGTCGGGGGTCGTGGGTTCGATCCCGACCCTCTGTACACCAGGCGAGGTAGTTAACATCTCCTAGCCACCGTGGCGAGTAAAGCCCATTGAAGTATGACGCTGTTTGTCAAGAACGACTCAGCCGGCAGGCAACATCCAAGCATTCCACAATCACAGACACTCACACAAATCAAAATACCTTGATAATAGAAATTGTTGTCAAAATTACACCCACGCTTGCACTTTCGCGATGTTACTCACCGAGTCAGTTCAAACGAGGACAGGGACTCTGGGGTAGTAGCGTCGTTCGGTGATTCTGATCCGAAAGAATTGAGAACCGGTGCCCGAAAGTCAGGAGTTGGTAACCGCTTCAAGTGGAACTTTATTCATGAATCCACCAATGATTTGGAACCGTCCGTCCGTCCGTGTGTGTGTGGGAACGGTGGTGTCGCCTCAACGTGCACCTAGCCTGGCACTAGCGCCGTGGTGACGTCACTTCGTGGCGAGTGGCGCTTATAGTTGTTGTCGCGGTTAGCGCTGCGCTATGAATCTGGCGACCTGAGTGCGATTCCCGCTCACGGCCACCAACACCGGTGACGATTATCTGAACCGGTGCTGGGCCTCCCCTAGGTCGACTCAGCCACTGGGGAAAACAAAGGCGGCCGTGCGTGATTTGTTTGGCCACAGCCACCGCCTAGCGTGCCGTTTGCCGGCCTTCGTAGACGCTCGCCAGTAGCAACTTGCCCCAACAGTCTGTGAAGGCTACACGGGGGTGGAGGGGACCTTTGTATTTTGTGCTTTGTAAGAAAATAAAAACGAGAGACCTGCCGGGGATTTCTACCCCCGGTGCATTGTTTAACCCCCCCCCCCAAACCGAGCCAGGCCCTCACACGGTGGGGGGGCAGGGGATGCAGGATTTCCTCTGCCCCACCGGCAGGACGTGGAGATATCCGTGGCAACGGCAGCGATTCATGGGGCGCGTCGCCGCCTCTCGATTCCGCCCGCGTCTGCTGCTGCTGCTGGATGCAGTCCTCGCGGAGTCGTTTCGGTGCCAACAATCGCACCCCCCCCCCTTCTCCCCCCGCCCCCCCTGGTTATTGAGCCTCGAGATCTTGGCGAGGGGTTTGAAACAATGCACCGGGAGGATTTGGGCAATCCAATTATTCATCGTCTTCTGCCGCTTCGTCGCCACGTCGCCGTACGGCTGCTGCCGATGTAGATGCGGAGCCAACGACGACCGCAGTGATGTCACATTGAGGTGGTCAAGTTCAGACAACCGCGGCAGGAGCAGCCCGATCATCATCGCCGTGATGTCTCCTTCGTATTGGTGGATAGGGCATTGCGCCGTTGCATTGGTCTGTGATAAGTCTATGGAGTGCAGTGCTGAGTCTATGGGCAGTGCTGAGTTTATGGGCAGTGCTGAGTTTATGGGCAGTGTTGAGTCTATGGGCAGTGCTAAGTCTATGGGCAGTGTTGAGTCTGTGGGCAGTGTTGAGCCTATGGGCAGTGTTGAGTCTATGGTGCAGTGTTGAGTCTATGGGCAGTGTTGAGTCTGTGGGCAGTGTTGAGTTTATGAGCAGTTTTGAGTCTATGGGCAGTGCTGAGTCTATGGGCAGTGCTGAGTTTATGGGCAGTGTTGAGCCTATGGGCAGTGTTGAGTCTATGGTGCAGTGTTGAGTCTATGGGCAGTGTTGAGTCTATGGGCAGTGTTGAGTCTATGGGCAGTGCTAAGTCTATGGGCAGTGTTGAGTCTGTGGGCAGTGTTGAGTTTATGAGCAGTTTTGAGTCTATGGGCAGTGCTAAGTCTATGGGCAGTGTTGAGTCTATGGGCAGCGTTGAGTCTGTGGGCAGTGCTGAGTTTATGGGCAGTGTTGAGTCTGTGGGCAGTGTTGAGAGTATGGGCAGTGTTGAGTCTATGGGCAGTGCTGAGTTTATGGGCAGTGTTGAGTCTATGGGCAGTGCTGAGTCCATGGGCAGTGTTGAGTCTGTGGGCAGTGTTGAGTCTGTGGGCAGTGTTGAGTCTATGGGCAGTGTTGAGTCCATGGGCAGTGTTGAGTCCATGGGCAGTGTTGAGTCTGTGGGCAGTGTTGAGTCTGTGGGCAGTGTTGAGTCTGTGGGCAGTGTTGAGTCTATGGGCAGTGTTGAGTCCATGGGCAGTGCTGAGTTTATGGACTTTAGTGCTGAGTCTATGGGCAGTGCTGAATCTCTGGACCAGGACCCAGAGTAGGACCCCTAGCCCCTGGGAGCTGTGTACCCTTGTGTGTGTTATTGTTAACCTTTAATAATCCCTTGGCGAAAGCCCATAACTTACCTCCGTCTCAGAGTTCGTCCGTGGGAACTTCTCTACATATGTATGGTGAACTTCTTACGCATTGCACTAGTCAACCGTGCTAATCGGAGGTCCAGGGGGGGGGGGGGGAAGGAAGGACAAACTAAACACAACAAGGAGTTCTAAAAGAAATGAGTTTCAATCTAGAGGATAAAAAAATGACATCGGCAGGGGTCTTTCACGTCCACGGCGAGTGAAGCGGACGGTGCGTAGCCGTGTCTGTGAATGTATTACGCTCGCAGTATTAACCGGGGCGGCCGCTCGATTTGAAACCGCTGGGACGCGACGCGCGCGCTTGGGAACACTCCGCGAGAAATTAAAATGACATCCTTTGGATTGGCAATGCCTCGTTCGTTCAATTCAAAATGTTTATTAATTACAGTTGCATTGCTCGAATTGCCATCATCATCATGTGTGGGTACTCCTCTTCCAACCACTCTTCCAACGTGGAAGAGTAGGCCAAAACACGACCCCCCCACCACGCCCCGCCCACCTCCTCCAGCAGTGAGTGGCGTTGGCCAAGAAATCGCAGGGTCGCTGAAACTTTACTTTGACCTTGCTGAAGAACATCTCGCAACAAGATCGCTCCCCTTTTTGCGTTCAGCTCGTTGATCTTTCGCCTGCACCGCCGATTAGTACGGCTGGCTACGTACGGCGCAAAGGAAGTACAACGCACGTACGCACGTGGATACTTGGCGTGTGTTCCGTTCAAAAATGTGGCACCGCATCGGCTGCCGATTGAAGCTCCGATGGCTTTCTTCCGGCTCGCGCGGGGAACACTCCTTCACAACAAAAACATCCTCGTAGATTTATTTAGACTCTCATCGCGTTATCCCGACGATGGCGCCACTGGCGTCACGTCGTCAGGAGAGCAAAAGGAATCCATCCGCAGACACTCGAGCAGAGCAGTTAACAAAAATCCCTTTCGTGTTGGAGAACGGCCCCACAAACCCCCCGGGAAGCGGACACCACAGAGCTACCTCCGAGATCGCTTCAAGTGACCTTTTTAAAATCAGCTTGCAGACACGCATCCGACGGGAGTGGGGGGGGGTGTGACGAGGTCACGTGGGGTGCGACCGCGTTAACAGGGTCACCTCTTGAAATTTTAAATGGGGCACAAAAGAAACGGCGGCAAGTGCTGCGCAGGCGTTCAGGGACTTAACAACTTGCAAATACTTTGTTGCATATTCGTCCAGGTACTTGCCCGGTGAACATGGGATGCTGGGCCAACGTTGGGCCAAACGGCTTGGAGTCACATGCCAACGCCGGGTGAAAGTTGCACGTTTACCGGCTCAGTACCCGACTTAGTGTTTGATGCAATCTCCTGTGGTGGCATCCACTTCTCGTCGACACCGATACCTCTTCCTGTTCCCGAAGACGGTTCACGATTGGCCAGGGCGGTGTATAAATTGAGGCTGGCGGAATGCCGAGGAACTCCACGCAGAACGGGACCACCACTTGACCGTCACAAACTTACTGAAAACGTAAACAAAGTTTGGCTCTGAACAGTTCATGGGCGGGTTTTTTCTGGTCGTGGCTAAACCGCGCTCGCGAATAATTTTGTTCGTCTACGGGGGCACGGCTGATTCGAACGTTAGCCCGCTCCTCACGCTCGTAATCTCGGTGGCCGATTAGCATGATTAGCGGCAATGATCACCCACGTTTCATTTCAGTTTATGTTTTAATCTACGGCATCGTCGTCGTCATCCATGCAAACTGCGTCTCTCGTGATCGTCCAGAAGCCACAGATGAGGGGGAGTCCGGCGGTGAGGAGCCGGCTTTAACAACAATTCCCCGAGCTCTGCAGTCCTCTATATATGCCAAGAGGCTTTTCATTCAACTCACGAGCATTCATTCGTACATTTTACCCGTGGGCCACCAGTTCTCAAGGCCGCTTAGAATCTGAGCGCGGTTATCCCGGGTTGCGCTGCGGGGTCGAGCGTCTCTTTACTTCTATCGTTGCACTCGACCTGCGAACGAACATGCCCCTCCGCCCCCACCCTCCCCTCCCGCAGTAGTGCGTGGCAAAAGCTTGGGGCCAAGCGGTGAGCGTTTCTTACTTCCACCGTTGCATTCAACTCGTGGACACACCACCCCCCCCGGACCCATCTCCACCTACGTGTGCCCGCAGCGGCGCGTGGGAAAAATCTCGCGGGTGCAAAACCGTGCTCAAATGCGCGGTCCCAATCCGGGAGGGCCGCGTTCATGCGTTCTAGCGAGTTTCGTATTTTACCCGTGGAACTACCGGGGAGGAAACAACCCGGACAGAGGATTCACGGCGGAGGGGGGCTGCTAGAGTCGGACGTTGGGGGGGGGGGGGGTGGGATATTTTTTTGCGACCGCCAAAACATAACGGCAGCGTGGAGTTACAACCAAAGTGGCTGACGGAAGAAGAGCCATCGTCTGGTAAGCGGGCCTTACCTAGCAAAATATACAAATATTTTTAGTTTAGATGCACCGCGCACATGCCCATGGCTTTGGTGGCCCGACGCACCCAAACCTGCACGGGTTGCGCCGCGGGTTTGACGATTCTTTGAAAGTCAAAAAAGAAAAACCGGGGACTTGTACTTGCGTGCCCTCTTGAGGGGGCGGCTCTCTCTAGCGCTCCCTCCAGTGGCGGCTCTTGTGGCGGCGAAGGAATTTAGTGTAATAAGGAATTTGGTGGCGAAGAAGGCCGGAAGGTGGGAATACGCGGCAGTGCGTCGCTCGCGCGGATTTCGGAAGAGCGGTCGTTTTCGTCGCTTGGCGGTCACATCGAGACGTGCCGTATTGGCCGCTGGCTTTCCGTCGGTTGGTTCCAGTGGTCCATTTTCCAGGTCACAGACTCGGGACAGGCCCGGCTGCAATTAAACGATTTATTTCGCGAAGCCGCTGCTGCTGTTGCCGCTACGTTGGCGGCAACAACCAACTAACAAAACACCCCTCACATTCGTCAACAGCACAGCGGCCTTACGATGAAAAAAAAAAGATTTTCAATGAGGCGACGTTTCAGGCAATGCCCTTTCTTCATCGCACGTAAATTATCGTCACGTAAGTGACCTGTAAAGCGATGGCACCGTGAGCGTAAGATACATTATACATTTATTTTACCGTTTAAGGGCCGCAGTGCAATTGGCGATCGCGCTGAGCCTCGCGTGTTACAGTCTTTCCCCCCGCTTGGTAAGGTCCACGCGGCTGGCTCCACGGGAGGAACTCGCACGGCGCGGCTCACCGCCTCACTTCCAGGCACTTTGCTCAGGCACACAATCTGCAACACCGCACCCCGTCTACAAAAATACCGCTCCTCGTCCCATCTTGCCACCTCTCTTCCACCGACACAACCGAGCCGTGCGCCGTGCCGGGTAATCGTGTCGGGCCCGGCACGGTTCATGGAGGGGGGGGGGGGGGGGAGTGGTGGTTGGAGTGGGCGGCACTAGCTTTGATTTTCCACCACTCACGTCGCACGGAGAGCGTACAAGTGGAGACGCGGTGTGTCGACGTCCACGCGACGTCCACGCGACGTCCACGCGACGACGGCGAAAACGAACGCGTCACCGGCCCCGCCCGTTGCCCTGCCGTGGGCCACCGGGGATAGATTTGGGCGTCTCGTTGTTGTTTGTTGCGAGGCCACAGCCTGCCGCGGGTTTTTTTTCCCGGTACGGAACGGCGTGGGGCGGTCAGTAGTGAAAAAGCCCACGACTGTATCCGTGCCGGCTCACCTCGGCTCGGATGTGCCAGTGGAAAAACGCTTGTTTGTGTTCTCGATTTGTTTTAATGTTATATATATATTTGTATTTGAAAAGTAAATATGTGGATTTGTTCGCCACGGCACCCGGGACGTGATCCACGCCATCTCGTCCGCAACTTATGTACAATTTTTTTTTGCAATTCATTCGTCCCAATACGATAATACAAAAAAACTTAATTCACCTCAAATTTTAATTAAATTAGAGAGGGAAAAAACTAACTCAAATAGGCGTCTGCGAACGCGTAAACGCCACCGGTCCTCACGCTGCCGTCGCGACGACATAAATACTTTAAATTATGGTTGCTCGGATGATCATTTTGTCTTTGTTCACTGTCTCCGCGCGCCCAAGCGCACATTTTCGCCAGCAGCACTCGGTCCAGAACACCAGCGGCAGAAAATTCCCCATCCCTGTGTCAGGCGGCAGTCCCTCCTCCGCAGGCCGACCGACATTCACTTTGCGCAAAGTTGAGCTCACTGGGCCGAGTCGACCCCTCTGGAGTTGTCCGCTCGGGGCGGCGCCCGATCCACCGCGACAGCGCCACCCGGGGCGGACGCCGTCCCAAAAAATCCACCAAGGCGACCGCAGAGCCGACGCGCCGGGCGGCCGTCCCACCCTCCCGTCGGCCGATCGACGCTGCGCCACCTACGACCGCACCATGACCTCCAAGCTCAGATCGCCGATGTCGGCGGCGTCGACGCGGCACGGCTGCGGCGACAGCGATGGCGCCGCCGCCGCCGTCGCGGCGCCGCCCGCGAACGGCCGCGAGCCGCCGCCGTCGTCGAGCGCCGCCGCCGAGAACGGCGACGCCGACGCGTGGGGCCTGGCGCCCCTGGCCAGGCCCCAGGCGTCGACGATGGCGTCGGGCTCCCAGAAGATGTCCTCCAGCGCCAGCTCCGTCAGGAAACCCGTGGCGGCGCCGCCGCCGGCCGCCGCTACCGCCGCCACGCCGAACAGCGCGTCCATGCGCTGCTGCTGGTGCAGCTGCTGCAGCTGCTGCTGCTGCAGCTGGTGCTGCAGGGAAGGGGGCGGCACCAGCACGGCGGCGTCGCACGGCTGTCCCGCCGCGTCTTCCACGAACTCGAGGTCTTTGAGGACGGCGGCGATGGCGGCCGAGAGCGACTCCAGTTTCTCGTCGTCGCCGTCGGGCGCCCGCGGGACGTGGGAGGGGGGGGCAGCGGCGGCTGCGTCGCGCCGCACCTCGTCGTGGACGTGCCGCAGCGTGTTGGCGATGAGCAGCGCGCGGCGCAGGCACGGCTCGGAGCGGCGGCGCAGTGGCGTGTGCAGCTTGCGCAGGGACAGGTCCAGCATGGCCTGGCGGCTCACCGGGTGGGCAGGGGCCTGGGGGCGGGAGGGAGATGCGAGGGCAATGTGACGACCCTGTCGTTGGTTCGTTGTCGTTGTCGTCATTCCCCCGACCGGTTTATCCTGACTGGGCTGCTGGCGTCACGAAGGATTCCATTGGGAAGTAGCGATTAGCGCACTGCACTGTGAACCCCAGCAACCAGAGTTCGATTCCCGCCCACGGAAAAACACCAGTCACGATTATTTGAACCGGTCCTGGGCCTCCCCTAGGTCGACTCCGCCTCAAATGAGTACCTGGAGCGGTGTGTAAACATTGCCACTGGGGAGACAAAGGCGGTCGGGCGTGGTGCTGGCCACCCACCCCCTCGCGTGCCGTGCCGGCCTTCATAGGTGCTGCTCGCTAACAGTCTGTTAAGGCTGTACGGGGGATCTTTGTTGTTTCTTGAGCTTCTTTCGCACCACACGTAGCCAACCGTGCTATCATCGGAGCAGTGCGACCCCCCCCCCCCCCTCTGTGTTGGAGAACGGCCCAGAGAAGCGGAAACCACGGAGCTACCTTTCTCTAGCCCAAGTCCCCTGTGCGAGCGTCGGGTAGCGTTGTGTGGACACGCGCCCGGCCCCGCTCACCTGCAGCCCGGCATGCAGTCCGCACCACCGCCTCGCCTCCTCCTCCTCGTCGTCCACCTCATCCTCGTCGTCGCTCGGAGCCTTCCTCTTCACCCCGCGGCCGAGCATGGTTGCTGCAACGCGGCGACAAGTTGGAGTCGTGTGAAAACCACGGCGAGAACTCCGGTCTCACCTCGCTCGCAAGGAGCGGCAACAGTGCAATGCGTTGTAAGGCAGCAATGAAGCAAATATAGATCAGAGCAGATACAAGCCAGATAGACATCAGAGACAGACAGCCAGATAGAGATCAGAGCACAGCCAGATAGAGAGCAGAAACAACCAAAAAGAGATCAGAGCAGATACAGCCAGATAGAGCATCAGAGCACAGACAGTCAGATAGAGATCAGAGCAGAGACAACCAGATAGAGATCAGAGCAGAAACATCCAGATAGACATCAAAGACAGCCAGAAAGAGATCAGTCGACAATCAGACAGAGATAAAAGACAGTCAAACAGAGATCAAAGACAGTCATAGAGATAAGAGCGATCTAACCCACAAAAACCTGTATTATGGATAAACTGATTTAAACTAAAAGAGTATGACAAGTCAAGGTTGGTGCTGCACAATGGACCCCTCTCACGGAGTCTCTAGGGCTCCTGCCAAGTTTTCGCTGTAGGGGGCGATGTTGCTGCTGTTGCCGCTGTGCGTGGTGATCCCAATGGAGGAGGCTCGTGGAGAACGCTACTGCTACTGAGCAAGTTGGAGGCAGTCGCCCCTCCAACGACAACTAGGGGCAGAGGAGCGACGCTCACAACGACGAGCGGTGCGCCAGGCGGCTAAAGTGCAGCAAGTTGGCACAGTAGGGGGGGGTACATCTGGTGCATCTGCCGGTCATCTCAGTCAACCCATGGCATCTGGTTCTGGTTCTGTCCGGTGACCTTCCTGTCAGCGAGCCTTTGACACGTGACGTGGTCTCAAAGTGCACCTGGTCTGGCACAGGCACCGTGGTGACGTCACCATCACTTAGTGGCGAATGGCCGGGTGCTGGTATTGGTGATCGCAATGGAAAGACAACCAAACAGAGATCCGAGTGGGGAGCGTGGTACAGCGTCGCGGTCAGCGCTACGCTGTGCTATGAACCAGGCGATCAGAGTTCGATTCCCGCTCACGGCCAACACCGGTGACCTTTATCTGAACCGGTCCTGGGCCTCCTCCCCTAGGTCGACTCGGCCTCAAATGAGTACCTGGTGTGGTGTGTAGTAAACATCGCCACTTGGGAGATAAAGGCAGCCGGGCGCCGTGCTGGCCACCCAACCACCCACGTGCCGTGCCGGCTTTCATAGTTGCTACTCGCGAACAGCACTTGTCCCTACAGTCTGTTAAGGCTACACGGGGGATCTTTGTCTTTGATCCCAATGGAGTGATTGGCAGTGGAACTTTTCAGCATACCACCGGTCACATTGTGTGTGTGTGTGTGCATGTGGGGTGTTTTTTCATCAATGCGAGGAAACTGGACAAGCGCCGCCAGGGAACCCACGCACACCCGGGAGAGAACGCACCAAACTCCGCGCGAGTACCGGAATCGAACCAAGGTCCAACCCTTCGGGCGAGTCACGTGTACGAGCCACAGATGCGAGTCACAGGCGCTTCTCACTGTAGTGCCAGCCGGCTGGCGCAGCGGCGTCACCAAATAACGCTTCGTGTGGCCCGTGCCAGGAACAAGCTGATGTAGTAAACAAAAAAATGAAGACGACAAGTCCCGTAGATGGCGGCATTGACAAAGAGGCAATAAACTAAATCGAAATTCACCTCGGCTCTTCACTTCATTATTGACATCGTTCGGTTGGACTGCCAAGCGCTGAACACTTCTACAGCAGGGCACGTGAGCGCGTGCCTCCGAGTGTGTGGAGAAAGGAGTTGACTTAACTGTGAAACTATATTTTGTTATTTTACCAGGTAGAAATATAATTTTTTTAATAAAAATTTTCTTGCTATGGATTTCACACCTGATGATGATTGCTTGTGTTGCAGTCGAAACGTCGTGAGAATTTGTATTGTTTTATATTTAAATTATTTTATCATTTCCCTTCTACGTGACTTAACCGAAAGAACCAAGAATATGAATCCCTGCAGTCACGAAAGCTTTAAATCAAAATCTAAATGGCAGTTCAAAAGTGCGGGCTGCGTTCGTAAACAAGGGCGTTTGTAAGTGCGGACAGCGTTCGTAAGGGTGGGCGTTGTTCGTAAGCGTGGGCGGGCATTCGTAAGTGCAGACGGCGTTCGTAACCGTGGGTGGGCGTTAGTAAGCGCGGACGTTCGTATCTCGGGGACTGCCTGTACCCCTTTTTGACCGCCACGGGAGGTTTCACGTCCCACCATGAAGCAGTTGACGGCCCCCAACTGCAAACTAAAAATTGCCAGGACCCCCCCTGAGGCCTGAGACTCAGCGAGGCTCTCAGCGGTAAACAAGTCTCATAACAACAAAGTATACTGCAGGGCAGAGGTCGCAACCGGGTACCCGATACCCGTACCCTACTCGATACCCGGCTACCCGGCTGGGTACGGGTACCCGTTAGCGACCCTGGTGAGGCCGGGTACGGGTAGGCCGTGAGTCACTGGTGAGTAGCCGTTTGTCACTCATTTCGGGTAGGGTACGGGTAGGGAACGGCTGGGTACGGGTAGCCATTTGCGACCCTGGTGCGGCCGGGTACGGACGGATAAGGAATCAAAACCCGTGTGCTACTCCCTGCCCTGCCCCCTGCTGGCCTCAGTGGGGAGTGAGGGATGTGTGTGGGGGGAGGGTAAGAAGTGAGGAGCGAATGAGAAGTGAGTGAGTCATGAGAGAATGTGAATGAATCAGTAGTGAGGGATGAGAAGTGATTGATGAGAAGGGAGGGATGAGGAGTGATTGATGAGAAATGAAGGATGAGAAAGGGAGGGAAGAGGAATGAGTGAGGGATGATGATAAGTGAATGAATCAGGGATGACAAGTGAGCGAATTGAGGAGTTAGGAACGAGAAGAGTGGGTGAAAAATGAATGAATTAGAGTGAGAAATGATGAGGGAGTGAGGGATGAGGAATGAATTAGGAATGAGGAGTGAATGAGGAACGAGTGAAAAATGAATGAGGAGCGAGTGAGAAATAAGCAATGAATGAGTGAGTGAGAAATGAGTGAGAAATAAGCAATGAATGAGTGAGTGAGAAATAAGCAATGAATGAGTGAATGAGGAGCGAGTGAGAAATGAATGAGCGAGGAGTCACCCTGAGGCCACCCCCCCCCCGCCCCCCCCCCCGTTGCCATGGAAACCAGACGGCGGCGGCTGCCGTGGCTGCCGGCTGCTGCCGCCGCGGCTGTTGCCGCTTCGCTTTATTAATTTATTTATTATTTCCTCTCTCTCCAAACTAGAAACTCTCCTCCTAGCGCCCCCGCGGGGGCTAAGAGAGCGAGAGAGAGAGAGGGGGAAACATCCAAGCCACAGTCTCACCAATGACGAGCTTCATTCTAACGAGGTGGTTATAGTTGGGCCCATCATCCCTCTCGAGGGTGGATAAAGTGAAGTACCACTTTGTGCGGAAAGTCAACAGGAGTTGCCCTGTTGATTATAGACTCACCCCCCCCCCCCCAACTCCCGCCGCTATCCTCGCCAAACGAACATGGAATTTCCACCGCTGCCCTAAGGCTGTAGAGACGCCAGTGACCGCAATGCTCATGGGAATAACATCTCTCTCTCTGACACTCTGTGACTTTGTGATCGTGGGTGCGTCATTGAATGTCGCTTTAATATTGTATCGGTTTTTGTTGCTTTCCAGTACCCGGTAAATATGAAACCGTCGGGCCAACGTTGGTCGAACGTCGGATGAACGTCGGGTAAACGTCGGACGAACGTCGGTCGAACGTCGGTCCAACAGCTCCGGTCACACGCCATCGTAGGCCCAACGTTCGCATGTTTAGTGGCGTATTCACAGTCGATATGGTATCGTCTACTTCAAGTGGCTTCAAGTTCCTTCACAACCGAAGTTTGGCCCCAACACTGAACCGTCGGTCTACGGGCAGCAGCTGTCGGCTGCACCGCCAGGGTCAAGGAAGACTGAACAGCGCCGCGAAATCCTGACGTACGTCTCGGAGTCACTTACTCCGGGAAGACGTTTCGCAAAAAGGCGCCCCCCCAACCGAATGGGTCGTGGCTATTAAATTCGCTGAGGTTCGCGACGCTGTTTGTTAATCCTCGCATATCGTGTCGGTGGATGTAAAACGTGTGAAGGAAATGAACGCAGAGTAAACGCTAATCGCGATGCCACGCTATTTCTGTTCCTCAATGGACGTAATTATTGTCGATGTTATATATCGTACGATATGTCACGAGTATTGCAGTGACCCTGCCAAACACTGCATGCCCCCAAGCAGCTTCTGTTTGTCCGGATAGAGGGGGCTAAACAGGCGTGGAATGGGCTGGAGAAGAGATGGAGCTGATGCGGTACGGGAGGATGTGGAGCTGAGTGGACTTGCCAAAGATCGGTACCAGAGGTGTCAAGATCCACCTATTGTGGAGGAGGCTCGTGAAAGACGCTAATGGAGAGTTAGAGGCAGTCACCTTCCAGCAACAACTGAGGGCGGAGGAGCGACGCTCACAACAACGAGCGGAGCGCCGTACGAATAAAACGCTGCAAGTTGGCACAGTGGGGGGCACAGCTGGTCATCTACCGGTCATCGCAGACAGTCAACCCATGGCACCTGGGCCTGTCCCATGACCTCCTGTCATCGAGCATGCAACACTTTACACAGCCTCAAATTGATCCTAGCCTGGCACAAGCGCCATTCGCCACCCAGTGGCTGCTGTACAGCTAGCCAAATCATCTTAGCGGCATATACCATATTTATATCCAAAGCAATTGGAAGTACTGTAATACATAAGCTTATATGAAAGAAGGGGCCATTGACAAAAATATCACCACTTATTATTTTTAATAATTTTATTAATTTTGATGTTTTACCTACGTGACTTTACCGAAAACACCTAAGAATATGATTCCTTGCAGTCACGAAAGCTTCAAGTCTAGAAATATATACAGGGTTTTTAATTTTTTTTGTAACACTTATATGGGACTATCGTTTTTAATGGTAAAGTGATAAAA